CCATGACACTTCTTTGATTTTTACTAGGAGGAGCACCTGGCTTTGCTACTTGTGTAAGTCGTGTGAGCATTGAAAAATACCAGCTTTTTTGTAGGATACCAGCTTTTTTGTAGGATCACCTTCTTAAAGGACTTATGATCACCAGAAGATCAGGGATCACTTGCTGAGGGGAATGATACCCCCAGTGATACCAGGGTCTAAAGCTTACCAAGGTCATCTCCCCCATGAAGTTTCCCATCATTTTCCTCCATTTCTGATGCTTGCCACACCCGATCAGCTATACTTTGCCCAATTTGAAAGTGATAGGTGATAGACAGATTTTGATAGAAATATGTTTCCATGGAAAAAACATGAAAATTGACTTACAGGATCCCGTTTCCAGGGTCATAACCTCGTTTATTCACCCCCAAGATGATCCAATCAGTAGGGGGGTGATGAATATCAAGTGTTCTGGATAAGCTACAACGACCCCACTGCGACCTCACTGGAATGATGCTTAGTACATGTTAGTATATAACGGGTAATTACAGTAACTATCCCATAGCCGGGAATTTCAGGTTAGTGAAATATTGCAATTTACCAAGACTCTTGGGTCAGCTATCTCCAGCTTCCACAGATGCAAGAGGTTTAATAAACCACTGGTTGGTTATATGTTGATACCCTTATCCAATGCACATATATATATATACACATATGTATACGTATATACATATTATATACATTTTTAAATATATGCATATAAATATACATATGTATATTTAATACATATATATATATATGCGTGTGTATCCATTTAGTTTTATTTACCTCTTTAGCCCCACGATTTTTTCATGTATATCATTCACCAATGCCCCCGTAATTTCTCATCGATGGTTGATTTATCTAGACATAAAATCCCATCATTACTTTTTCTCCAAATGGAAATGTCACCGGTATATTGTTATTAATATTGTTTGGCCATTTGGTTATATGATTGTTGGTTCCATATATATACATATACATATACATATCTATATATATATTTATGTGTGTCCATTTTATTCCCGCTATATATATATATATATATATATATATTTATTTATTTATTTATTTATGCATATAATATCCATATATATATATATTCCAAAATCATCCATAGATGCTTGGTTAGGCTTTATCTCCAGTAGATTCCCATTATATACACTCCTCTCATCACTGTAATCAAACATAGCAAGCGAACATATTCCATTTATTTCCTGAGTTTCCCAGCTAGCAACCTGCATGTATAGAGGATTTTCCAGCTAGCCGCGCCGGCATTTGACCAAAGAACCATGGGGTAAGTTTTGATAAGATTTGTTTTTTTAAGATATTTCAACGAATATCATCCATTTCTGGTGAATTTGGGGATGGTTTATCGCTAACAATGGTTCATCCACCATTTACTGAAATGATGGATCCAACAACAATCCATTATTCAACATGATCTGGATCCAACAACAATCCATTATTCAACATGATCTTATCCAACAGTCATCGTCAATATTTAAATAACATGATTTAATAGCCTATTAAATCCTCCTTAATTCCCTGTATATAATTTCCATTCAATCTCTACTCAATCCCATGAAATCAACATAAATCACCATAAAATCCAATAAAAATCATCGTTGAATCCCATAAAATAACCATGGTAATCATGATATCCCATCTTATCCCCGTTACAGTATATCCCTAACATTATCATATAAGATATACCATGGATATCTTCCAACCATGGGCTATTCTTTCGACCACCAGGAGCTCGACCACGACACACCCTTCGTGGAAAAGTTGAACTCTGCTCGTGCGCGCCAGCGCATCATCACCCAGCGCGAAGCTGAGGAGCTTTTGGTGCCTGGGCGCCAGGGAAAAGGCTAGGAACATGTGGAGAAAATAAGGGGAATCTGTGGGAATTATGTGGAAAATAAGTGGAGAAAATAGGGTCAATCTGTGGAAAATTAGATTGGAATTATGTGGGATTTATAATCTGTGGAAAATTATGGGACTTATGTGGAAAATAAGTGGAAGAACCTGTTTGTTTTTGTGGAAAATTATGAATTATGGGACAGTGATTGGAGATATGGAAACATGTGGAACATGTGGAGTAAAATGAAGGGGTATGATGGGAGCATATGGAAAGTTATGAGAAAATGCATACAAACCCATAATGCTGGGTAAGTCATAGTTTTCCAGACCTGGAAATCCGTCAAAACCAAATTCATTTGGTAGGCTCAGCAAAGAACCCATCCGCAATATTAAAGTAAATGGGTTGCAGAACCCAGTCCAAATCGCAATCGCTTTATTCTTTGTTTGGTTCCTGCTCCCTGACAGCAAGTCCTGGTTATAAGGTATGATTGAACTATATGCAGCATTATATAGTTGCAATCATTCCTGACACATTTGTGAATGCCTGGTTCCAGTTTTTGGGTGCATTTTGGTCATTTGCTTATTTAGCTAGCAAAAAACACGACTTTTTGAAATGTAAATCATCGAACGAAATGGGCCATCTATACCATAGCAAACTGTAACAAAATGACCATAATAATCACGATATCCCATATTATCCCCGTTATATCCCTAACACTATCATATAAGATATACCGTTATAGCAGCATTAGTAATCATTCCCCACACTGCCCAGGCAGTGGTCCACTGCGACGCTTATTGGGACGCCTTTCATCGTGACGAGTTCATTGAGGTCCAGCGACACAAGGATCGAAGCCTCTTTGGAGGTGCCGTTTTCGTGCATCTCGACGGGGATGACGAGGGCCGCGGGGGTGGGGAAGCAGTGGCCCGTGGTGCCAAAAAAAAGATGGGGATGTGTTAAAATGGCAAAAAACATGTTTGTTTGGGGAAATGTTGGAAAGGATATGTGGAAAAATAGTGGCAAATAATTATTGGACGATCTCGGGACATGCTGGCGAAAATCAGAAACCGGTAATGATGGGGAAAAAACAAATATATATAATATATATAATATATATATAAATATATATAGTAAGAATACCGGAAAAAGATGGAAAGCAAGAGAGGGGGAGAGAGAGAGAGAGAGAGATAAAGTGATATATGGACAGTTGGACAGTTTGGGAACACATTTAGACATGTTGGAATTATATGGTTTGAAGCAACATGTTCTCGCAAGGTTTGGCACAAGGATTTGACCGACAAACGGCAGCTACGCTTGTTACCAATTTCAGAAATTGGTTTAAAGTCTTTGCCAAGAGAATTTTATCCAAAAGCATGTTGTTGCGTTAGCAAGCACAGGTTTGGTCAGGAAAAGATATGACCGACGATCCATTGTTGTGTTGGATGGATGGACTTTTGGGAGATCCATAAATCAGGATTCTGCAAACATGATGAATTTCATGATGTTCTGTAGATTTTCTGTGAAAAACCACACCAGGGACCAAGTCATGTTCAGAAACATGTTCATAAAATTTTGCTAGTGCATCATTTGTCAGCTTATGATCTTGGTGGCAAATTATGCTTTCCATGAAGTCATGGTTGTTTCCCAGAATCTCATGAAGGGAAAACCTACAGTAAAACGCAAACCTGCCCCTTCAAGAAATCCATTTCGAGGGACCTCGCCACCGGTCGTGCCGGTCGACTCAGGAAAATTTCAGGTTGCTTTCCCGGGACCACTGCGCCTTTGCAGCTGAGGCATTCATGCTCTCGCAAGGGCCTGACAGATAATATCAAAAATAATATATATAATATATATATATATATTATATATATATTATATATATAATATGAGCAAACTAGTTTAGTTTAAATTTTAGTACTGGCTCCAGAGATGATCCATTGCCCCATTGAACTGTTGATAGCTATTACTAAATCATTGATTTCACAAAGAATACCTGGAGCCTGGATCTTTTTAAACTCGAAACCCAAAAAAGATCGATTTTGGGTGTTGGTGTGGAAAAAAGAACACCGGAGTGGTTTTTGCTTTTCGGGACACTTCGGACGTTCTGGAGTTCAAAAAGCGTTCAAAAAGCGTTCAAAACTGTTCGGAAGCGTTCTGGAGTTATATGACAAGTATCAGAGATGAGGGGCACCATCAGCGAGATGAATGTCAAATCATCTTGAAGTTCCATCTATGGAATCTACCCTACAGTGTCCTTAAAACATGGATAACATGGCTAACTGTGAAATCACCGGTCGAATGGAGGTTTAGGTCGGTTGGAAAATGATCGAACTGGGGGACTTTCCAAGCTACAGAATTTCCATTGGATGAAGGAAAAATCGGATTAGGTTTGGTTTCACCTGTTTTTGTTTGCTGACTTGGATGTGCAAAAGGATAAGTGTACATCATGTCATTTGTCCAAAATCGGGACTTCAATCGACTAAATGGTACAGAATCGAATTCTTCTTTGGCATTTTCCAATCTAGACATCTTTGACATGCAGAGATTCTTCACATGTGCACCAAGGTATTCCAAGGTTCAATGTTCAAAGCTGTGTCAAGTATCACACATGAAAGGAAGGAGGTCAAAAGGCCCTTGGGTTCCGCGATGTTAGGTTTGCGTTATTATTGTTATTGTGTTAAACAATAACTCAAAATGGTTCACACAGAATAAGTATAAATACGTATTAATAGAAACAAAACCCCAACGAAGCTAAGGGAATAGATTGAAAAGATGCTGACAATATAATTAATCTCCATACCGACAAGAACGATTATTCGTGCGGGGCAGGTAACATGTGTTATTGCCCCACTGCGAAACCCAAACCCTGTGAAAACGGGGTAATACATAGCGGGGGAACTTGTAGCCAATGTTATTGCCCCTTACTAACAAAATGACTGTTCTTTCATAGCAGATATTTTTAACCCACCCACCCCAAACCTAACACCCATGAAAACGGAGAAACATGCAGCGGAGTAACATATAGCCGAGCCGATGGTATTGCCCCAAAAAAAACCTGGTTTCATCCCAGGGTCAATTTCTATAGTACCGATGGTACCTTTGAAAAGTCCTTGAGTTGTCGGAGCCACGCATCGCCACGCGCCCGAGGTGGATCATGTGGCTCATCGCTACATGAACTTCAAAGACCGCGCCAAGTGGGACAAGCAGATGGATGGATTCAAAGTTCTGCACCTGGAAAAGAACATGGGGATTTCTCTCGGAAAAATGTGATCAGGAATTGAACATGACTAAAACATGTGGTTTGACTGGGAAAATGGGATCAATGCTGGGAAAATGGGATTTGACTAGAAAGAGTGGTGATGAACCATGATAATCGTGGGATTTAACTATAGGGAGAGATATTGATAAGTAATTGCGACCAAGACACACCAAGGCTGTACCAACATATGCCAACAGTACATGAGCAATATACAGGGATATGGAAACCCAAAACAAAGAACAATAAATCCATGGTGGGAAAATCATTGGTAAATAATATTAAATAATGGGAATACACTGTGAATTGCCAACGGAAAAAACGCGTTCATTTCACAGGGATATACAACGGAAATCATCCATGGTGATGGAAAGTCATCCATGGTTTTTGTTGTCGCTAATGGGATAACGATCCCCCCACGACAAACATAAAGATGGCTGGTGCAATCACCAATCAGACCAATCAGTCAGTAGTGTTAGCATGGGGCGGTGGTCTAGCCGTAAAACTATGTAGCAATGTTACATGCTCTAGCCATTTTTATTGAGATGCATATCATATACATTATAATGCATTATTATATCCTTTTTATTTGGGCATGGCTGAAAGTTGGGGGAAGGTTGTTTTTGTTTGACCTCGCAAAGGCCAGGCCACTCACGTATCGTAAATGACTTTTGCAAGCGGCCCCGGGACACAGAGCCTGGGTGTTAAATGGAAATCGCCATTTGACTTATCAGTATTTTCGGGAGCTCCTAGCAGTACCTTTCTTTATGAATACTGAGCGTTTTTGTTGAAAGGTTTGCATCACCTTTGAAGTTTTTGAAGCTGTGGGCCTTGTTAGTACCATCATACCCTTAGCGTGTGGCATGTGAAAGGCCAGACATTTCATTTTTAGGGTTTATCGTCATTCAATATCACCTCCAAGAGCACCAAAGATTGCTCAAAACATTTTTGGCTTTTGGCTCCAAACACTTCTGAAATTCGGTTGAAGCTCGAACATGGTTCACACCCCGCATACCCAACCTATCTCCACTGAAATTTACACCATGTATACCAAGAGCTGTTACTATCAATTTGATAACTTAACATGTCCCCATTATATATAACTATATGCAATTATATACACATATATACAGCACATGTATGATCATGTATGTGTCAAATTATATCATTATACAACTGAATTGTTACATCAGCATATTTCATGGGTATCTTGTCAGGTGGCCCCGTCTTCGGGAATCATTCCAAGATCCCCAAACGTATTGCCGCTTAGTGTCCACTAATCGTCATTAACAACCATTCAAGACTATTTTCTGGGCTTTCAGGTGATTAACCCCAGTTCCATCAAATCCTTTTGGGCCCATTCAAGATTATAAATAATGTGGGTAAAACAATGCCATAAACCATCCCCCAGTCATCTCCATTTTTATAGATGGTATGTTTACCATTCCCAGTTATTTATTTTTGTGGTAAAAAAAATGCATTGTTTTACCCACATTAATCAGGTATTAATCACTATTAATCACTATTAACCACTATTAGCCACCATTATAACCACGATTAGCCAATCACTAGTGAGCTTTTTCTCCACCCACTCCAGGAATCATTCCAAAGGGAATGACCTTCTCTACTCTGTGATCCATTCCCCTCCCTTATCGGATCGTGACTTCATGGTGTTTCACACCGTCCTGCGTCATCGAAGCCGTGACTCGGTGAAAACGAGGTGCTGGTGATTCTGGTGTTCTAAGGGATGTCCGAAATGGGGGGGTAGCTACATCTACGTAGATCTATAACATTTTGAAAAACTTGGATAACCTTTTGGAAAAACTGTGAAAACCGGCTGGAAGAATTCGAAGAACGTGGTTTTTCTGAGTCTTGGAAAAGCTGAATTGGTAAATGTTTGAACAAGTGGACAGAATGGGGAAAAACTTGGTGCTCGTAAGTCTTGGTTGACTGTTGGTTTGTGACGGTTCATCGTGACGGTTATTATAGTGGGTCAAACTGGGTAACTGTCTGTGAATGTTTTGGTACAGTGTTGATGAGTTGGTCAAACTTGCGTGGGTTTGTCGAAGTGTTGGCGGGTCAGTTCGAAACTAAACTAAAGATCGGGCAATGCAATGCCCACTGGTATCGAATGATAGGACCCTGCAGCTTCGCCATGGCTCACAGCAAATGCATTTGTCATTCTTCATCTGGATTCTGCTAGAAGTAGGGTGGGGTTCGAAAACCATTTGATGGGCTTAGCTGTGCTCCAAAAAAAATGAAAAGTGAATCCCTTCACGTTTGAATTTTCATTTCAACGAGACTTGGCTCAACTATCAACTATCAACCACCCCAGTTGCCAAAAAAAAGACATCATCAATAAAATCATCCAATCAACAACTTTAAGCCTCCCCAATGTCACATTTTTGTTCATTCGAGATGATGTGTGGCACTGGCTTTGCCATATGAATATCATAGTATCATCATGTATCATCCACCATTTCTCCGGGTGAACTTCCTATGCCTTCCGGGGGTCAAGCTACCGAATGTCGGTCCCAACCTGGAGTATTTGATGATTGTTGAACATTGCGAGGAACGGATTAGGCACGTGTGTAATCAATGTATTGGTATTGATACGCGTATGCATTACATAAAAGGAATATATATATATATATTTATTTATTTATGCATTGATAGAGAGAGAGAGAGAATGAGACACACAAGTATATATGTTTATATGTCATAGGTTTGTGTCAGCTTTTGTTTTGTAATGTCATGTGTGATCTGCATCTACGAGATGCCCATCCCAAGCCGCCCGTTTCCTTTGGGCTTCAATAGGGGCCAGCTTGAATGATTTCGAGCAACCAAACTGGTGAGTAAGTGGAATTATAATATATTATAATCCAGTTCTATAAATATGAATAAATAAGTACACACACACACATGTATATATATACACACACACATATATATATATATATTATATGTGTGTGTATCCGCGGGATAACCGCAGGAAGCGGGGACTTACCAGGCTCATCTCCAAAGCACGCAGGTTCCGGGCTCATGTTTTATAGCCCCTCGGCGGATGACGCCTTCTACCCCAAGCAGCCGGGCGCCGTACGAGCCACGCAATTTATGGCAGCTCATCAGTTGATCCAGGCATCGGTGCAGATGGAATGAGGGAAACTTCAAGGTTTTCAATTGAAAGACTATGGGAAGATACTGAATTGAATGGTTCGATGTGGCAGTAATGGGAACTTATTCATATATGGGACAATATGATATAAAATATTGGAAATTTAACAGTGTCTGCAACCCCTGTCAAACCAAAAGGCTTGCCAGTGGATGCAAAAGCTGAAACCCAAAGCAACGGTGAAGCTCCAGCAATCTGACCAGAAGGCAGCAGTGGAGCCGAAACCCAAGCATTGCAGTGACATCCAGAAATTCATTGGTGTGGACGGTGCTACACATAAAATACAACATGGAATCCAAAAGGGAAGATCCAAAAATGTTGCAAACCCAGAATCAAGTACACAATTTGAATTAACGCTTCCCAAAAATTCCTTGGAATTGAGAAGGTTGGCAACCAAGAAAACCTGATTTGCTTGTGTTTCTCCCATGTTTTTTCTAAGCAAGGAAACCCGTTACTGGCTGTTACACCGCCAAAGAGTAGCGCAGCTACGCGGGTTGGGCAGCACCATATGATTGTTTGGCATGCGGCAATCGCAATGGGCATCCACCCTGAGAATAACTTTGAGATAGAGGCTCTCCACGAGTATCACGGCGCGCGCCTGTCCAACATCACAGAGAAAAAACAGCTAAGCAATTGCACAAACGCTGCATACAGAAGGGCAATAAACGGATTTTGCCTATGTTTTTTTTTTGAAAGCTTAGAGTCCCTCAAGACAACCTCCCCCAAAAATGATGCAGAAAATCGTTTCATGACGCATGCTGCGTGAATTGCGTGAGTCTGTTTCTCCAACAAGTTAATGAGCGCCCAGCTGCCCAGCCTTGCCCAGCTTGACAATGCTGCAATGTACACCTTCAGGTGCTGATGAAAGTTCTGATAAGGTGTCAAAGGTTGATAACCACTGTTTTTTTTTGGCTGGCAGAAAAACAATCAGAACATTTGATTTTGTGCCCATACAATTGCGGTCTACATGGTGCATGGAAACCATGACTTTCCATGAGCGTATTCTGCGTTACCATGATCTTTGGCGTGTTTCATGATCTGAGCTGTTTGGAATCAGTTGGACTTCCAACCAAGTGGCCATTGTCAGCCAGTAGCAGTAAAGTAGAGAAGCAGCGGAGTAGAGTAGCAGTAGAGTAGAGTAGCAGTAGAGTAGAGCATCAGTGGGGTAATAGCAATAGAGCAGAACATGGCTGTTGTAGTTCTACAAGTTCAGCTTTGATCATCGGCAATCAATTTTCTAGGAAGTCTCGCACGAAATGCTCATTCCTGATCTTGACAACTGTGAATTATGGGGGAAGTCTCGTGCGAAATGCTTGATTTCAAAAGTTTCGGGGGAAGAAGCAAGGCTCTCAAACCATGTTTTTTTGGGCCTTCGGGGCATCGTCGGAAACGCGCGCCTTGGAACTGTGTTTTTTTGGTTCGTTTGTGATCACTCGTGGTGTGCATGTTTTTGAACTCGAAGTTGCAAAACTCGCATTGGAATAGCTGGTGCTTGTTGACTTCCTCCATCATTCAAATAGTTCAGTTTGCGCCTGGGTCCAGGTAGCAGGGATACCTGCATCCGGTGGAACTGTTCTCGTTTTGCTCTTGGGTTCTCTGCCCCCCCTTGTTTTAGATGTTATCCAAGTTTGGCGATTTTTTGGGGTTCAGGATCACATTTTAGCTTCAACGATTTTGCGGGTATGTATTGATTGATCCATATATAAACTACCCTCTTGTTATTTAACATAGCCATGGGAAATGGCCCATTTATAGATGGTTTACCTATTAGAAATGGTGATTTTCCATGGCTATATTAAATAACCAGATGGTAAAGCATGGCAGAACCATTAGAACGTGTTCAAATAGCGTTCAGGAGGCCGGAGGAGTGCGATTTATGACCTCCACCGCCATCGATCCTCACACTGCCTTCCTACCCAGGTGGGGTGTTTTTGGAGGATCAATCCTCTAGTTCTGGACCAATAAAAATGGTCGTTCATTGTTGTATGATGAAGTAGACATCAATGGTTCATTTTTATATACCCATCAAATGGACCATAATAATCCCTATATTACGGTATATCCCCATCAATGTACTTATATCCCCATCAATGTTCTATGTACAACTCACTAACTACTATATAGTACATTGATGGGGATATAGTATACCAACCAGGTAACTAATGCATTCTAATGGACCGATAATGGGATATACTATATAATAACATGTTTCAGGATCCCCATGAGCGGACTGACCATAAAGCACATATATAGGGTTCTGACACCTACCCGGCCTGGTAAACATACAAAAAGCTATTGAACATGGCCCAGTCGAAATAGTGGATGTTCCCATGAAAAATGGTTATCTTCCATAGTTATGTTAGTTTACCGGAGGGTATGTCTGTGAAAATAATTTATTTTTGTAGGATAAACTTATCTCCCGAGATGGCAATGGAGAGGAAAGGGAAAGAGGAGGATATTTTAAATCATATTATAAAAAAGTAACGACTTAGATTCGATCCAATCGGTTTAGTTGAACATGGGCCCAGAGTAATTGGTTCATAACCATGCTTATCAAACCATTATTATGTATTTTGCGATCTGCGCCACGCATGGGGGACAAAAAGGGGTGGCGAAGGACCTCAGCAAGTCCTATCATGGAGTTCGGAAAATGATGATAGGTTGATGAATCCTGGATAGATTTGGGGATTTTACTAAAATATCAACTGTAGGGATTATCATCATCCATCATTCACAGGGCTTTTTTGTTCTTAACGAATCAGGATGAAATTGAATGACAGAGTTTCGAAAATTCAACCTTGGAAGAACCATCCAACGTGCCGGAGATCAGGGGTTTTCTTGCGGGAAACCACCCACAAATGGTCCAAGTTTCAACCTGCCGCAAACCGAGAACTCCTTGAATCGCTTGGGTTTCTTGCATCCGTTTGGCAATCAAACACGGAAATGAAGAGTCCATTTTCTTGAATAATTTACGTGTGACGCTTGTTCTTGTGACATTTTTGTTTTGGGTGGTGAAATTTCTAATGTTTAAATTTGATAGCTAAATGGTCCACGGCCAAGATCATGCGGACCAGAGAGTGCCCAGGTTTCTTCCAAGGTAAGCTGCTTGATATGTCAAACCACAAGCACCGAAGATCGTTACGTTGCAGAACCAAGAGATTCACAGAAGGAATACGCAAGACACAGAGAGGACACTAACAAATATCACAAGTTGGTTGGATAGCACTTCATGTCATTTGGGTAGGTTATACCAACCTTACGACAGAAGAGAATTAACCATGTGAATCCCTGGGCATCCAACATGTTTTTTCTCTTTAGTTACTTGCCCAGATGTCATGTGAGTCAAATGACCATTCCTCATTCGTGAGATCCTTATTTTCATGGTTGAACCTTAGAATCCAGATGTTATGACAAATTCACCTTTTTGGCGGGTTTACTTCCACTTTTGATGGATCAATCATGTTTGTATAACCCATGTGAAATTTCATAATTCCGTAAAACACACAGAAACAAACCATTTTGGTTGATGACATTTCCACAAATTGCCACCAAAAACGGTTGGGCTCATTGAATTTCAGCACGATGCAAAATTCAATCAACGGACGAATCGTGGCAGGTGGGTCCTCACCCTGCTCTTACCTTCCGAGTTCAAACGTTGGCGCAGCTCAGTGCTACGCCGCTGTGGCGACGCTCGACCAAATTCCCTTGGTACTGCCATACTAATCCCATCCCTCCCATGTGGGCCCTCCAAAAGGATACCGTAATTAGCTGAATACTCAAAAAGGATTTTGATTATGGGGGGTGTTATAGTATTGAATTTGAAATGATATGAATATCCGGGGAATGGTGTATCTAGTCCAAATTTATGACCGCAGAATTTTGAGGGTACCTTTTTTTCTAACCATCCGCAGTGCTGGTTCGAATTTAGCGCTTTCCTGCGAGGAACCCCAGGATCCACAGAATCATTGCAAGAATTGGCCACATTTCCAAACATGATAGCAAAACTGGATGGTTCGTTGAAGATTTCATGGAGGAGTTCATGTTTATTGACAAGTTTGGCTCATTGGATGTTATAACAATGTTATGTCATTGTCATCATGTAACCCGTCGGTGTGTCTGCCACACGTTGGGAGAATGCCTTAAGGTCAGGATCCCTTCAGGCTGCAAGATTTTAGATTGCCAGAAAATGGATGACTTTTTGAGGTGTCAACATGTCATCCTAAAGCGGGCACCTTTGAAACTCGTGATTTTGGAGACCGCTGACTCTTTTGTACCCGGAAGTCTCTTGACGTTTTTGTCCCCTATTTCCATGATTCAGCAATTCCCCATGGTTTGTCGCCCATGTGGGTTGATTGAATCCCTATAGCCCAAGTGAGTCTATGGTGGTCACATATCATATCTCCAGGGTATATTCATTCTTGGTTTCCTTGTCAGTTATCATGATATTATCATCATCAATTTTTTGAGTTGTCAAACTAGCATTTGTTCATCCAGCTTATTGTCATTTACTATCCCTCAACTGCTTCCACCGTCTCCCCATGATGTTTTCAAATTGTCATCTCCTCCAGACTTCTTCAGTTTTTCTACCGCTTGCACCGCCCTTTCCAACGCAAAAACCCAGGAATTGCGAGGGCAATCCGTCCCATGTACCATGCTTTGGCCAGAGGAAGAGATTCAGCAAGCTGACACGCCAGAGGCTGGGGCTTGATAGCTGGGATAGAAAAACTGGTGAGTTTACCTCGACATTTAAATTTACCCACAAAACGTGGGATATCCTGGGGTGTTGGGAGGAACCCTGGGAAATATGTGCCAAACCTGAGATAACCGCAAACGTGGGAAATATGTGCTAAACCTGAGATAGCCCATTTAGAGTCAGATTTCGGCTTAATCAAGTTTGTACATTCAGAAACTATTTTGCAAGATTGTTAAATCGGGGTATAAAGCATCCCTAACTAAATTGGTGGTCTATCAAATCTATCATATCGTACTACGCTAGCAATGCTGAAATCTGGGTCAATAATTTTGACCCACACTGGATCCCGTGCCCATTTGCTTTATATAAAATATTTAAAGATATTTAAAGGATTTCGTTTGAATATATACATATATACGAATATGTATATATATATATACATATACAAATATTTATATATATACATTTATATATATATATACATATATATATATCAAAATTATCCATATTAGTGCCATCCCACACTTTTCTCTCTTGAGTCAGCCCAGTGGATGCAATGAATGGGAGGATACACTCTGGTAGGCAAGCCTGGCAGTTGAAGAGAGCCTTTTGATATAATTTTACCATTTTCATATATTTAGTAGCAACATCAGAATCTACGAAACCATGTGTTCTTTTCCATAGTCAGCTTGGGTTTCGATGGAGCTTTGACCTGGAGCTTATGATTTCTTTTCAACAAACCAAGAATCAGAAAGCTGGGCAGAAGAAGCAACAAAATGTGGCGGTGTTTGAACATGTTTGAACATTGGGGATACCACCCCAAGCTATCCAAGCTGGCAATTGCAAATTATAGGTTTTCGCTCCCATGACATTTCTGGAAGCGATAGCAATGGAGCGGAAGCGATAGCAATGGAGCGGGTCTGGAGTAGGCAACCTTTTCACCGTCGCTGGTAGTTGGCTACAGTTGTTGTTTCTCCGAGAGAACGAAGTGCATAAAATCTGATGTCATTATACATAATTAGACAATTATACTGTATATTTGATAGAGAATAGGAAAACATAGAAGAACATTTTTTTCTGCAAAACAGATCAGATAAACTGATTTTGAAAACTCATCCATTGATTGAATATTTTATCCTAAACATGATAAACATGTCTTGACAGAAAAACCCTCCAATCAACTTTTTGAACAACTCCAAGGTTCTCATGGCTAGGTTCTTGTGCCACAGCCATCAGCCAGGCAGTGGCCGAGAACAAGGCAAGTTTGGGAACTTTGAGCACAGGCACCAGATGGCATCCGCACGGTGGAGCACAGGGAAAGTGACAGTTAGCCTTGTTGGTCATAGTACTTCTCTATTTGTTAAAGGCTCCTTTCAGTGAGTGTGGCATATTGTGGTGAAATGGGAGCTTACCATGCAACAACTCACAGCAACATGACATGTTCAGAATTGGTTAGTGATGGATCTTAACATGGTTTAAATTTTAAATGGTAACTGGTGACATGCTAAATTTTGAGCAACAAAGATGCAGCGACTTTTGCCATTCCAGGGGTGCCGAGTGACAAGAACGTGCTGAATGACATCGTCATTGAAGATAACGAGCACGTGACAACATGTTGTTGTGCCCTGGGTTCAAGCTGAGACGATGTTTCTCCATGTTGTTTCCCCACTTACTAGGTGAGGGTCTCTATAGATTTATACATTTTAACAAGCCATTCCGGTCTTCCTCTTCTCCTCGTTCGCCTTCCTCCTTGTCCTCTCGCCAGCTTCTCGTCACGTTGCAAGCCGGCTTGCTGTTTGCGCGCTGGGGCGTGCCGGACCTGAACACTATATACTATGCCAGATCACAATTTTACAGATAGAAGGCCAGACCGAATGTCAGATAAAAATCAATAAAATGTAAAATTATAACTACACGCGCGCATACACACACACATATATATATATATATTAAAATGTCGGAAAGGATGTCAGTAAAAAGGCAATATAGAAAATCATTTCATGGTATGTGCCACTTAGAATGTTGACATATAATGCCAGATCGAATGTCTAGAAAATGTGCCAATAAAAAATGCGCATAGACTGTCCAATAACTTGTCAGATAGAATGTCAACATAAAATGCAAAATCGAATGTCAGAAAATATGTCAAGTAAAATGGCACATAGAATGTCACATGAACTGTGAGACAGAATTTCAGATAGAATGCCGAATCAATTACCAGAAAGAGCACCAGAATATGCCAGATAGATTGCCAGACAACATGCCAGATAAAATCTCAGAATGTATGTCAGATAGAATGCCGTATAATGTGTCAGAATGTATTGGAGATAAAATGTCATGGAATGTCAGAATATATGTCAAGATATTTGCCACGGTGGGGATTACACGATGTGAAGTATTGTCGTTGCAATTGTTTGTTTTTTCCCCATTGGTTATATTTAACTACATTTACATGAAAGAACGGCTATAATCCACCACTTGGATTCATAGCTACAGCCATAGCCATGGAACAATTGAGAAACATTGCTAATTTTTAGATTATGTATTTATAATTTATAAAGAAGACCATGTTTCATGGCAAACTGTTCAATTACTAGATAGTCCTTTTGAATGGCCCCCAGTGGATCGCAACTCCAAGACATATAGGAACCTCTGATGTAGATTACACATGGGAATGAAATCCGTCTCTTTCAACTAGTGAAGAGATAATTTTCTATAGCTTTGGGTTTGCTTTATATATATATATATAATTGCAATAATATATAGTATACGTATATGTATTTATATATATATATCACAGGATTTTTTTGGGGGTTCCTGGTTCTATGCTTTCCTGTTTCTTTGATTTTATGTTTTTTTGCTTCTCTGCTTTTCTGCTTCTCTGCTTACATTGCTTCTCTTCTTTTCCTGCTTCTCTGCTTTTTGCTTTCCCTGCTTCTCTGCTTTTCCTGCTTCTCTGTTTTCCATGCTTCTCCGCTTTTGTACTCTGCGCCTTTCTACTTCTACTATTCTACTTTTTCTTTTCTTCAGTCATGTGTTTTTGCTGCTCTACTTCCTGCTCCTTTTCTTCTTTGCTTCCTGTCTTTACTGTCTCTTTGTTTTTCATTTTCTTTTGCTGTATTCTCTCCTGTTTGTATCCTACATGAAACCCTAGAGAGACCCTACGTGAAACCCACAGAAACCCTAAAGAAATCCTGATAAGAAACCCTACATGAAGAGTTGTGAAGCCCTAAATGAACCCTAAAGAAACCATAAATGAACCCTAAAGAAACCATAAATGAACCCTAAAGAAACAATAAATTAATCCCAAAGAAGCCATAAATGAAACCCTAAAAAAAATGAATGAGACCCTAAATGACATCCCAAATAAACCCTAAACAACACTGAAAAAACAACTAAATGATACCTTAACTGACACCTTAGCTGAAACCCTAAATTGACACCGCAAAGAAACCCTAAATGAAACCCTAAATTGAAACCCTAAATGAAACCCTAAAGAAACCCTAAATGAAACCTTCAAGAAACCCCAAAGAAAGCCTGAATGACACCCTAAATGGAACCCTAAAGGAACCCTAAAGGAACCCGCTTGAACGTTTAGAAATCGTGAAAAGAAATCCTGGTAAGAAACCCTGGAATGAAACCCTAAAGAGAACTTAAATGAACTCCTGAATGAAACCTTAAATTGGAAACCCTAAATTGAAACCCTAAAGAAACTCTAAATGAAACCCTAAAGAAATTTTTAATGAGACCGTGAATGAAACCCAAACTGACACCCTAAATAAACCCTAAACGAAACCCTAAAGAAACCCTAAATGAAACCCTAAAGAAGCCCTAAAGAAACCCATTTGAACGTTCAGAACTCTTGACAAGAAATCCCGATAAGAGACCCTACATGAAACCGGAAAAACAACTAAATGAAACTCTGAAGAAACCCTGACCCTAAAGAAACCCTAAATGAAAAAGCCTAAAGAACCCTCAAGAGACCCACATGAACGTTTGAAACACCAAAATGTAGCAAATACCATGCAAATGAGAGGTTGAAATGCCAAAATGTGACAAAACACCATGCAAAATGGAAGGCGAACATGGCCAAATGTAGCAAATACCATGCAAAATGCAAAGTGACCATGCCAAAATGTATCAAATACCATGCAAAATGACAGGTTCTAGTTCCAAACTGTTGCAAATACAAGGCAAATGGTACTGGGAAAGAAAGCCAAAAACAAATCAAAACCTGATGCAAACAAATCCAAAAACTATTCTACACCCCTTCATTGTAGATCATTTTCTTTTTATGATAAAATACATATACATATATACGAATAGTTTCTTTTTTTGGTTCAGTGAAGAGTAGTCTTGAGGCGTACCCTGCTTTGTCAGTAAAACCATTTTTTGGTTTCAAAACGAGGTAGGAACACCCGAAGAATTAGATTAGGTCCCTCAAGCCGAAAGCAGTATGGGAGTGGAGAAAGGGGTAGAAACACCCTGTCGATTGCGTGATGCACCACATTTTTTGCGGCCCATATTTATACTAATATACAGTACATATAATATATGTAACAATGCAAGTGGTATACATGCCTGGGATGGGAGGAAACGACTAATCAGATCTGAAAACACGCGCAGCAAAATGCTCAGGATTGGTCCCCAACACAACTGGCACTTTGGTTGTATGGTGCATGATGTTTTTTCTGTGAACTGAGGCTAAGGTCGCCTAAGCATCGCGGCTCAGTGATGGGTTCCGGCCATGGCATGCTACAAACCGCCACCTAAAATGGGTACCTGGATCAAGGGGGACATGGAGGCACGAACAAAAATTGCAGAATTTCCATGAATTTCCAGGGGATGTGGTGGATATGGTTGACCACAATCTCTACAGATGTGTTTGGAGACCGTTCCTGAGCTGCTGGCACCAACCACTCACAAAGCTGAACTCGATGATAAGAGAGGTGTACTTGGCGCTTATGAACAACCAAGAACCAATACTAACTTGTTAAGTAGCTATTATCTGTTACTAGCTTGATTACTCTGACGACCCAAACATGTTTCTCGTGCCCGCCATGAACTGCGTTTTCCCTATGGGCATCCCTTCAGCGTGTTGCAAATGAATCCGTCCTGCATGGCCCCAAAACGAGCGGAACAAGTGAACAATGATTCCAATGGCACAATGATGGAGGTAGCGCATAGATTTCCGGTTTCAAACGTTTCTCAACCAGAGTTGGAATGTTCATTGCAATCGAGGAGGAACTCATCAGGGGGTTGACACGACCTCACTGGCCGAAGAAATCATTGGATTGAGATTGCGGAAGGACTCTTTTTCAGGGTTTGTTGATTATGAATGATTATGATCACTCACCAGGTAGGTAAAGATAGAAAAGACAGAACAGAACCGAACAGAACAGACAGACAGTGATAGATGGACGGATACTATAGATGGACAGAGATGTAGATCATATATATATATATAGACAGGTAGATAGATAGATCGTCTAGAGGATAGAAGAGCAGGCGGAGATAGATAGGTTGATTTGGTTCGATTGCATAGATTAGACAAATAATTTAAAAGATGGATTTGATTGCTAGAATAAATCTGTAGATTTCGCAGTTTGATAAGATAGACAAGATAGGACACCAAATAGATAGACAGATAGGTAGATAAATAGAAAGGTAAACATACCAATAGATTGCTCATAAATTGACGGATGTTTAGACACATACGTAGACATACAGAAGGACAGATTTACTGTAGATTCATCGACGCAGTTAGAACCATAGATCGATAGATAGATGACATATAGATTAGATCGGAGAGGATCGGGTAGGAGAGGATAGCACAGGACAAGATAGGATAGGATAGGACATGACAGATCGACTTGTTTTCGAACAAATCATTGCCAGGGAGGAATCCGGCTTTCAGGTTCACCGTAGTGCTCCGTAGTGCACCGTAGTGGACTTGTAAGGATAGCAGCTTTTTTCCGTGCGCTGCCCACAGCATATTGCATGGTGGACCCTGAACCATCTAAACCCTACATAGACCATTTCCATCCATTTCCTGAGGATTTGGGCTTGATATGAACCTATTTGGTTCACCGACTGGGACCTATGCAACGAGGCGAAAAAGATTTTTCAGCGAGCTGGGTTCTGCGGATCCCACCACCGGGTTGACTACAGTGTTCTGTTGGGGGTTAGATGTGCGATATATATATATATAATTGTGTATATATATGTATATTATATTATTTATATACATGCATTGTACATCACACCTGCTTACAGACAGTACATTACGGTAGGTTACGTTACATTATAATTATCATGTGTTAGGTGAGTACCATTATGTTACATTACACTACATTACATTACATTACATGGATACATGCCTACATCCATGCATACAGACATAGAAACATCAAGGCACACACACACATACACACATACAGATACCTACATACGCATGTACATACAATATTTGCCATACCATATCCCACACCAGACCGGACCAGACAAAACTATAAATGAACATATAAATACATCAATACATAAACGACCCGCCGGACCGGAAACCGTGCCCATAAAACGCACGTTTTTTTTTTAATGGTGATTTTACCACAGTGCCGTGCTGATTTGATGATTGGAAATCCTGGAAAAACTTGGGGCGCGTTTTTTGGCTTTTCAGCGTCATCGCTGCAACGCATGCACCGTTATCAGCTGGCAGTCCGCATTCTTGCAAATGCATCTCCATTGCATTACTGTAAATATTAGAATCCCCAATATGTCAGAAACCCAGACAATGCATACCAGGCCCCTGAGTCGCGAACCTGCAGCACACAGAATGAGCAACCCAGCACGACATTATTCACATATATACTATCATCATCTATCATCAAAATGTGATTGTGTAAGCGGACCGAAAACCTATGCATCACTACCGCACCCAAACCCATACGCAGCGTAGCAACATGTAACGTAGTAAACGATCCCAGAGATCTCAGCAGCGTAGCAACATGTCACGTAGTAAACGATCCCAGAGATCTCAGCAGCGTAGCAACATGTAACGTAGTAAACGATCCCAGAGATCTCAGCAGCGTAGCAACATGTAACGTAGTAAACGATCCCAGAGATCTCAGCAGCGTAGCAACATGTAACGTAGTAAACGATCCCAGAGATCTCAGCAGCGTAGCAACATGTCACGTAGTAAACGATCCCAGAGATCTCAGCAGCGTAGCAACATGTCACGTAGTAAACGATCCCAGAGATCTCAGCAGCATGGCCATATATCATGTACGAAGTACAAGGAACGTTAACATGCCCCCCCACCCCACCCCACCCCACCACACAATCGCGATATTCAAAAACGTGCGTTTTACGGGAACAGTTTTCGGTCCGCAGGCATAAACGAGTACGTACACACATACATATGTAGAATTCTGTATATATATATATACAGAGTTATATACTTGCACGCACTTCAATGACCATACATACATACAGACATACATACATACAAACAGCCATAATCAAATCAACATACAGACATACAAAAATACATAAACACAGGCAGATAAACATACATACTGTACATACATATGTACGTACGTACATGCATACATAGATACATAATGGTACATACATACATGCATGCGTTCATCCATCCATGAGTCGATCCATCCATCCATCCATATATCCATTCATCCATCCATCCGTGTACATACATACATGAGTACGTACATGCATAGATACATGAGTACGTGCAAATACTTAGTACACCCATCCATTTATCCATCCTTTCATCCATGATTGCATGTATGCATAAATGCATACATGCACATTAGGTAGTTTTAATTGTATACTATAAATATGGTAAAGTTGCTTTTGGTATTGCTTCGATTTATGATTATAGCTTACATGTAAGTATATATCCAGCCTCGCTCATTGTGCTGTTCACATTGACCGGTGTCTTGTTACCCGTTGGTGGCTCCAAATTGTAGCCGAAGCGCCCAATGGCCTGTCCAAGCTGTGTCCCTGCATATCCAATGGGGTCTGAACTCTCCAAAATAGTGGTATGCCTTGGAACATGGCATTTAGATGCATAAATGCACTAGAGTCACTAGGGGGATGGTTTTTTTCATGGGATATTTCATGAGATAGAGCGTGCCAGAAACATGGATGAACATGTTCATGATATCACAACTCCCATCTCCAGACGAATTGCTTTAAAAAAAAATGCAGGTAGCCTGGTAGCCTCATATTTCATGGGAAAAGTGAGGTGGTTCCCTGCAAGTTTCCCGTCGCAACCCATTGCAGGAAACCCATGGATTTCCATGTCACATGAGTTTCTTGCATGGCAATGGAAAATCAATCCTTTCAAGCTGCCTTGCCTATTGAAGATGCAAATTTCCCAATGTCAGCTCTGTTGTTAAGGACGTTTCCAAGTTATGCTCCTGAAAAAGTCACTTTCACCATAGAAAACTGTGCCTTTTGCCCCTACTGCAGCGCAGGGTAGACCCCAGTTTTTCTTCATGTTCCATGTTCCTGGCTGAGATTTGGGAAATATGTGTGTCATATGCTGTGACTATATATAGAGATATAGTCATATATGTAACTGTAGTTGGATGGTTTTGTAAAACCAACTTATATCTGGGTCGGTATGAGATGTGTTTGATCAAGTCCAAGCGGAAAAATCCCAAAATATCCTACCGGAAAAAAATAAACTGTTCCAAAGACAATTCAGTTCACAAGGCTAGATTTCTATTGTGTTTTTGTAGAGGTCCAAATTTCAGACTTTGAGACCCACTGAGACTCATATATATATATATATGTCCTTGGTGTGTTTAATTATGTTTATAATCATTTTTATCTGATTTTTGTAACTACAGTACTCCAAGTGCAATCGCTTCTTGGGTACAAAATTTCGATCGCAGGGGAAATATCAGGAAGTTCACTACCTGTTCAATGGGCATCGCTGGATTTGGCGGACGCTTTGGGCATGCAAACATTTTTTTCTCCCGTCGGCGCCGTGCCGCAAGTGCTGGTCGATGGCAAAACAAATCTTTCAGGATCCCAAAAACAGTAAGTAATACCTTGAGGACTGAAATTGATCTCTGGAATGATTTCAGGCAAAGTCTATATTTGATATATTTTGATGTGCACAATAATTATATAGTGTGGTGCTCCTCTGTGAAACCAATCCTGAACATTCCTCGGGGCCATGGCAATCGGATCAACCGCCCTCAGCCGGAAAGCGTTATCGATTTGGTTTGAGAGGAGGGGGTATAAAAAAAACGGTAGATCCTGTATATAAATTATAAATATAATATATCTATATATATATACATATTTATATTTGTTATTTCCTGCGTATCACGTGCCATACCCAAATTATTATAAGTTTTTTTCATTGAAACGCTGATGATAAAACATCAGTTTGGGAGTCTTCCCCTAAAACTTATCCATGTGATAATCACAGCCATTGACCCACGCAGAAAGAAAGCTGGATCGTTCCAGGAGCCACCTTCTGCCAAAGTCAGAAGGTGGCGACCTGAGTGGGTAAATTCTCATGTTCGTTTCTGTTTGATACCCTCCGGCAATCACAAATGACGAACATACTCCGTTAAACAAAGCCTCCATGGGTATCTCTCGAAGGGTTGGTTGAAGGGAAAATCCTCAACCGGAAACCATGTTGTGTTATCACAAATCATGGGCTCTCCCTGCAGTTTTTTTTGGAATCTCGTCTATGTGCTCATGAATCTACTAGATTCCAACCCTATCCCAGATATGTGAACAGCACCTGTTTATCCTATTTAGTTTTGCATCCTTGAAGTGCGATATAGAACTCAAAAGTTGCCATGAAGAGATTATCCTGGTTCTTGAGGAGACATCATTTTCGATCTTCCATTTTAGGTGTCAGAGAGGCATATATACGTATCTCAAACAAAATCAACCATGTGAAATGCCACGAACTTTAGCTCAAACTTGGCGGCCTTTGTGAACCTCTTGAATCAGGTTGAACCTTTTTGGACACGTGAAGAAACGAACAGTGGAATCCATTCAGACGTCCAAAGTGTCGCCCTCCTGTCCGCGAACAGGAACGGAGATTCAAAAACAATCCAGACAGCTGGGTGGAGAAGAGCAAGGGGATGATGCAGCCATGTGCAGAATTGCTTTAAGGGAAGTGTTGCAGCAAACCTGCATTTTGATTTTGCAACTACGATGATTTCCTAGGTCCTAAGATTCTTCTGGTCAGACTGGTCAATCCGTTCATTCAAAAGGGGATTCTGCTAAGTATCCGCTTGCGGTTTCCTGGTGTTGTGGTTTGTATCATTACCAGTTGAACGTCTCTTACAGTAAGTATTTACAAAAATATATGCGCCAAATGCATGCATATACATAATATATGTCTATATACACACATGGGTATGTTCGCAGTTTACATTGATGCATATAATATATTATATTTTTAATATTGTATAAACTATATATATATGTATATTTACATATGTATAATATATATATATACACATGCACATTTACATAGGTTTATTTAGTTACAAAAACATGTTACTCCAAAACATCAATATATTAGGACGGCCTCTCTGCAGGGCCAAGAGGATGGTGTCCATCCATCTGGGTCACTGGACGTCCTCACTGTTCGACCGAACCCTGGAATCCTGGTGTTCATAAGGGAAATCACCCCCAAATGGCCTTAATTCAGGTTAATTAGTGAAATACTATAATTTACCCATATGTACACACACACATATATATATATATATACATATGATAGTATTTATTTATATATGATTCCCATAAGTGGAGCCACACTGTTGTGTGCAGAGACATGATTTCATATTGTATACATTTGTATATAATTGTATCATATAGTTTCTATTCACCATTGTGCTACCAATCAGTCAAATTGTGTGCTTCTCCAGGTGCGGTTCGTTACATTTTGGACTGTTCTGGCTGGAGCTTCGAGTGAAAATCTAAAAGGGCCTCGATCAGTGAATTTGGGCGCCAGAACAAGGTTTGCTATGCTTCGGCATCTTGAAAGAAAGAATGTGTCAAGTTCCCCACCACCTACGTAGGTATCAATATTATCAATTACATCTTCCAATGATCAAGCCATGAAGAGACCCAGACCACTCCTTTCCACCAGGTTGCGGCATTGGCATACTTGGATGATCATCCCACATCGGACTTTCCAATGAGGCACCAGGCTTCCCATAAACAAGTGAGTTACTAATTAATCATTTACTACAAACTAATTACTAATGTTGATTAACTCACATTAGTTAAACACTATAATGAACTAACTAGTTATCAGTAATAGCTTGCGAAGTAACGAGTTCTAACTGACCCCCAAGTGCTACCCGCCATGGACGCCTACAGCACCTATCGTCGCTGCACTCTGCGTTCCTTGCGCCTGGCCGCTGTCTACTGGACCTTGAGCGGGGTCCTGGCGGTCTATGCCACCTGGAGCGTAAGCCATGGGTGAAGCCATGGGACAGATATCATTATCATCAATTATCATTCATGATCCCTCCCATATCTTTGCAAGTACAGATATCTTGAATTATTTTGATATTTTGCAAAAAAAGACGAACATGATCTTCAATAAATTCAATAGTAGATTATCGGCGATGATGGCTTCATATTGCAGTTGTCCAGTTGTTTGGTGTCGAACGTCGCCAGTTTTTTTCGCCCGTTAATAGGCCTAGGTTGAGACCCCCAACTCAGGTGAGGTTTGTAAACAAACCAGAATGTTTCAGAATAAACCTAACATCGGTTTGAAATATTCTGAAACATTCTGTGTTTATGTTGATGATCTTCGTAGAAGGGTTCTTCTTCGCCTTGGGCATTTGGGGTGGACTTTCTGGTGCCTTGGCATAGAGAAAGCCAGAAAGCCCATGAACATCAGTGATATCATTACCACCATACACCACCATCATTTGCATATCTTTGATGATCCTTTGGAGCTGGTGTTTTTCCAGTTCCATGATGCGTGATGGATGATTTTTTTGATGTTTGTTGCGCCGAATCCTGCAATTTTTTGTATGCTATTGTGAGAGTGCAAATCCACAGGTTCATGTTAGGCATCCTTCAGGGGCCTGGGCGCCAACCAAGGTTCACCAGGTTCACCCCCATCCAGATGGTTTCTCCATGTTGCGCAAAATGTTTCAACCAAAACGGAGGTTCTTTACACCGCCATCACCTCTAAGAACCATTTGCTACAAGAGGCGCGGTCTCGGATCGAGATGACCCTGGGGATGGGCCGGATCCTGACCCAAACTGGGAAAGGCTTAGTGAAGCCTCAGAAGGAGTGGCACTCAGCCACTGACATTCACCAAAAAAGGGGAAAAACTATCAACATCATCACATGTTATCATATGCTTGGCATATGATACAAGTGAAAGAACCAGAGCAAAACCAGAGGTGATGACGATGAGACCAACCATTGGTTACCAAAATAGGTAGTTTTGCCCCCCCCCCAGTTCGGTTCGCTTTCACCAAAGCTCAGCTAACCTCTTGAAGCTGTGTGTTGTGGATTCATCACAAGGAATGGGCAAATATCTGGAACTTCGAAAGTTGGCAACATGGAAAAACAAACGTCAAACGACATCAAAACCACTTTTTTTCTTCGGAGAAGTGCCACTTTTTCCGCTGCAAAAAGGTGCTTTCTACAGATGCGGTGCTGTTTGCGCGGTTTGAGGAGGAGTTCAGCAGCTACGAGTTGGGATATCCCGGTGAAATGTACTGGGTCCATGCATTCGGGTGCCATATTATATGATGTTATGTTACATTTATTTTATTTTGTTAAATATTGCGTTATTTTGTATTATAGTATGTCATATTATAATAAATTATTTTTTGCATTGTATTATATATTAGTTCTGTTACATGATATTTTATCATGTGGTAAAAAAATATTGTATTATATATATATTTATTTATATTATATTATATATATATTGTATATAATATTGTATTGTATTGTATTATATTGTATTATACTGTATTTTATTGTAATATATTGTTTTATATCATATCAGATTTTATTCTATGATATAATGTTATTTTATATTGTGGCATTTTTTATTGGAGGACATGGAGTTACTATGTAGGGAGATGGGATTACCAGTCAAAGTTCTAGCTGGTTTGAAGCTTCAGTAGGTATGAACTAAACAAATCATCAACGATTGACCGATATTTCTGGACGATATTGAAACAGATTGAAATCAGCAATCAGATAGCATTCAAGCAGCAAAGATTGCAGAGGAACCAGTTTCCGCGGGGGCATTACGACAACAACTTCAATATTTTGGAGGGCTTCACAGGAACAAATGAAATGAAAAGGGTGAGTACTGGTAGTAGATCCGTACTAGAGGAGTGATGCAAGTAGGATTGTCTAAAACTTGCTAGCCCAATTTCACCCCATTGGTTTTCACCATTTACCCCTTTTTTTATGGCCATAACTTTGAGGTCAATCCAACCTAAAATGAGACAAATATAGACAAATGAAACTGATGTTCATTAAACCAGCATTTTGGCCACCTCACGAAATATCTATCCTTTTCACTCTCTGAGATGGTCAACTGCTTTTTTCTCAAACCTCCTGCCAGGAAAAAGACAAGCGACCGAAGTGTGCGGAGATGAACGCCACAGGCCGGGAAGCTTCGGGGTCATTCCGCTGCGAAATCCGATTGTTGCCGCAGATGGAGATCAGTAGGTATCTAGAATTATCTATAGCTATAGCGGCATATACATGTTGTACCAATGGGTACGAAGACTGCCAGTGACCATTGCATGAGTTATATCCCTACTTTGTTGGTTACGAAAAAGCGATAGCTTTAGACACCACCTCAATTGCAACCCCTTTTCTGCCAGTCTCACCATGACTTGGTCCCAGAGTTGTCAATATGATCGAAGGCAGCTTGGAGTTGAACCTGTTTTACACAACAAAAACAGCAGCTTTGACTAAGATGTTCACATTCTACCATCGTTTTCACCTTAGCTTCCTTGCTCCATCTTCCCTTATCTGAGCTCATTTCCTCTTGTCGTATTGGTATTCGGTTTCAGTCAACCATATGGCTATGTTCTTTTCAACGCAGAAGAAATGCGATGACAGAACCTCGCTGGAAAGCAAAACAAATATCTCAACTCGTCTTCCCTGATTTGTTTTATCTTTATCATATCTGATCTAATCTGCATCAATCTATCTATTCATTCTCTCTACGTTACTGATCCCTATCTTCCTTTCCACTTCTCTATCAGATTTGACAGGTAAAGCCATGCCATAAACATCCCCAATTGGGGTTTACGAAATTGGGTATTGCACTTTTTGGGAAAACGTAAAAGGACCCTCAATCATGGTTGGTTACTGGGATGATTTATTTTTCTGGCTTTCTATTATGGCCAGCGATAATCCCTTTAAAATCATTATTCACGTTCCAATACATCCTATAGTTTTCTTTGGTTAAATCCCGGTTATGATTTGGTTCATTCTTATCCTCCCATGGTTATCATTAATATTACTGGTTAGTGGTTTGGAACATTTTTCCATATATTGGGAATAATCATCCCAACTGACTTTCATATTTTTCAGAGGGGTAGGTCAACCACCAATCAGATGATCATTATCAACCAGTTGGTTAAATACAAATGATTATCAGTATCAACCAGATTATCATTATCAATGATCATTTATTAACCAACATTTAACCAACCATGATCCAATACCAGATACCATTTAGTAGTTAATCCCAGTGATTAATATCAACTATAGATTAACCGCTAGTGAATTAAATATAATTAAATTACCCATTACTGTTACCATCCAATTAAATAATGTTGGTTACCATATAAAATCATACAAAATCATTAACCATTATCAACCATCATGAATCATCACTCATATTATATATTACTAGCCAACTAAATGTTGGTTAAATCCACACTTTCCAAATGCCAGGTCTTTGTGTGGAACTCCCTTGGCTGGACGCCGTGGAAGTCTCGGCCTCGCGCGGTTTCCTGGCGACCTACATGGAGGTGCAACCGTGCAACGGCGGCTGGTGGTAGATATGTGGTGGGAATTCAACTGCTTGGTTAGTATTGGTTAATAGTGGTTAATCATGGCTTAATAATGGTTAATAATGGTGATTAATGGATGACTAATGATGATTAATGTGGTTAAAACAATGCCATAAACCTCCCATATTGGAATGGTTTATACCACCTATTTATGATGATTTGGGGGATGATTTATTATTGTTTTACCCACAGTATGAAGGTTTCCGCACCCCTTATCATCCAAACTTCGAGCATGACTTTGTATTGAAAGCCATGGTGACGACTGGGGATCCCTCATGACTTAAGAAACCCCCAGGGGTAATTATAAATATTATAGTGTTCATGTTTTTTTGGGATGATTACATCATGGCTGGATTGCCTTGATAGACGAATGGGGTAGACAACTTTGGATGTGAGTTTGCACCAAGTGCCCATATGAGTACAGTGCTTCCCAGCAAGTTGTTTCTTCGGGTGAAAGGTCATAGAAATTGAAATTCAACTCAAGTCGGCATAGTAATGTATACTAATGTGTCTAGATAGTATACATATATATATATATATATATAAAATTATTTTCATAAAGTTTTTGATTTGATTGTATTTGCTCACATACAAATATGATATATGTACATGTCATATGTCACATGCCAGATATAGAGCTGCTTGGCAGCACCATTGTATGTTTGAACCCCCTTGAAGAATTTGCGAATCCGAATTCCCAATACATGTAGATGTCCATATCACGGAAAGACCAGTTATCCAAGTACCTCTTGGGCCTTATTGATCGAATATAATCTGGCAATGGAGAACCACACAATCACATATGTTCACTGATAACAAAAGCGAGCTAGCGATGAATCGAATGCTTATCAAATGAATCCTCAATACATGTTATTTACTTGTTAATTTTGCACTTATCTACTTTTCAAACCACCATGTTTGGAACGCCCCGCAATTTTATATGGATTCAGTCACCATCTCTTCCGTTAAATTACATTAGCTCCTCATTTTTGCTGGTAACATTTTGTTTTGAATGGGTTGAAGTATGAGTAAACGTTCACCTGGGCTTGTTGAAGTGCGCAGGAAGCTCTCTTTCTGGGTCGTCCTGCCCTGCAACGCCTGGGGGCGCCAGTTGAAAGCCAGCAGCCGCGGAAGGTGCGCGAATGTAACCCGATTGATTTTATTCATGATCGTTTTTCTTGCCGGAATCAAGTGGGGTGTTTATTGCAATTATACTTGTTATATACCACCATTTTCCAAGATCATAATCTGCACATAGTAGAGTTACGAGTGTAATATGCACTGTTTTTTGCGTAATTAAATGCGGTGTGTTTTTCGAAACGTCCCGACAGCTCCCGATCTTGCCGTATCCTTGTTTGGCTACGGGGTCGCAGGTCCGCAGCCAAGGATTCTACGTAGGCTCGCAGGATTTGGGCAGTCCCCAGGGGAAGTCTGCCCTTAAAATCGTTGATCATCGTTGATCCATATCCATGAAAGCCTGCAATTACAACATACATTCCTGAAAAAGTGATCTCCTAACTCCAGCCTAACCCCCTATCTGGCAGGGTCTACATTAGTGGTGGCATCTCCAAATATGCGGATTTCTTCAGCAGGAAGCAACAAGTCCAACAACAAATGCCCCCATCTGACCGAGAGAACATGGAGATTGAAGCCAGTCACATTGAAGATTCAATCAGCATCAATCAGCACCAATCAGTCATATCGGGATCATGATGCAGAAAAAAAACTGGGGACATACGTTCACCATGAGCCGACCAGCCTAGGAATTCCAGAAGCAACTGTATTTCGAACCGCCAAGCTCCGTATTTCTAGACGATTCTCGTTGGTTTTAGATCCCCACGGTTCTTGATCTTATTCCCCCAACCTTTATTCCATTGGTTGCGAGGAGGTGTGGTCACTGTCCCATTCGGAGTGTTGTGTTTTTGTCCAAACATCATCAAAACAAGGTCTCAACCCGAAAATCTGTTTTCAATCATCACCTAGACCTAGACTCCTAGACATTTCTCCATTTCTCGGATTTGAATCCATCATTGCTCCATGAATCTAACCTTTTGATATAGCTGTTCCATTTATTGACAATATTATGGTTGGTTATTCATACTTTTTTTCCTGCTCATTAATCATGAATAATCATGAATATAGGCTAGGCTGTATTCATAAGTATATTCCATATTAACAATTTATTTTCGCATCCATCTTCGGTCTCAGATCACGAGGTCAGCCTGAACTTTGGAGCCTCGTCTTAGAAGATCGCTTGGCTTCCATTGCAGGCACTTGGTCCAGTCAGGACCTTGCAGGCCTCTGGGACCGTACAAATCATGGGATGGGGATGTGGGGAAAAGGCCAAAACCTTGGGGATCCGTTGGAGGATATATGATAAGATCATGGGCTTTACCAAGCAAGAATGTTTGATAAGGTCTGATGTCTGTAATTATTGCCAATAGGTAGTCAAAACATGGATGTTAATGTGTGAATCATTGTGAATCATCTAAAATCAATTTGCAAATGAGGAAAATTCTGTCCAGCCATGCTTGATTAGCCGAGAGTTCTGAGTATGTTGAATTTCAAGGATATGAATGGTGGTAAATCTAAATGAGATTAGCTATATTTGTTGTTTGTATGTCTTCTTTTCTTGGGCTGGTTGAATCTCATGTTTGTGAATCAAGATTCCTGTTGGATGGCTTCTTGGTTATTTGACTCAAGCGGTCAGAAATCTTCCAAGGATCTTGTGCTTCCCCAAGCTATCCTCATGGGGATTCCATGGCGAATCTTAGCCATATATTCCAAAGGCGGCTCGCCTTTGGAGGGACTTGTCCCGCTATAGATTCCATTAAATCCCATTAAACCACCATTTCATCCCCAGCCTTGGATTGGTAGTTGAATCATGTTGAATCCTTGCGCTGGTCTTTTGCGACACAAATGGAGAACAACCAGGTTGACAGCGACACAAATTATGTTTGTGAACTACCAAAGGTTGACCATGATTTCGAAAATCCAATCTTCTCCAAGTGCCTTTGGTGAGCGAAAAGTGAGGTTTCATGCGGGAAGACCATCTGGATGGAAGTTACAGTCACCCTATCGAGTGACCCGGTTGTGTCATGGGAGATCTAAACGTGAGGCTGGCAGTATCTGGGTGTATAACTATAGTAACTTGGGTTTATTGGGATATCTCGACCTAGCGAAATGGGCTTAGTTGGACCAGCTTCTAATTGGCTGCTGCGAATATTTGGGGGTTGGACGTGGGTTGGCTTGGCACAGCCAAGGGGAGAACACACGATTCACAAGCAGACTTCAGATGCTAAATCAGAATAGGGAATGTTTGCGACGTCCATTTTTGAGCTGCCGCAGGTGCACTTGCGGGAAGCCAATCAGCGCGGATAGACTGTTGCATGCAGGGAAGATGAGTTGATCGATTTGAACATATGTATTGTCTTATTAATTTGGTTCTGCATGATTGAATTTTGGGCTCACTCAGCATGGGTAGTGGCTTTGGGTCATCACCTCACCATCACCTCAGCCGCCCTAGTGCCACTGAGTGCCAGCCTGAGAGCCTTTGGTTCAGACCTTTGGTGGTAGTAGCATATCATAGATTTACATGAACTTTGAGGCTTCATTTACAGCATTATTTTGGTGATAGGCCATCCTCCATCCATCCTTTACTAGCCCTTTCTCCATTCATTGCTGATGGAGGTTCTTGTTGCTTTGAGGCGCTTATGAGTTCAATGGAATAGGTATTGGGTATCAGGTGCGTTTGTGAATTCAATTTGAATTTCTTATCCCATTGTTTTCTGTTGCAAAGATGCGTCCAACAAACACCCAAGATCATCCAAATTCTCTGAGGTACGCCGCAAATGGATTGCCCAAAGAGGTAAGAGTCAAGATTGGCGGCCACAAGAATCAGATGGATCGCAGAGTCAAGGTCTGCCAGATGTGAGAGTTGATGGTGGCATCACCGGTTAAACATACTGTATTACTAGTATGTGTTCGATGGACGGGTAAAGGATCAAAGGAGCCCCTCTGTGAATTTAAGAAGGATTGAACAGTGAAACCCCATTTAAGATCTGGACAGGCCCAAACCTTTTCTAGATTGTGTGGGGTCCCGCTTTCCCTCGATGGTGCCCCAAAGAAGGGATTGTAACAGGTCCTCATTTGCTAATGTTTGTTCCTATGGTGAATTGGTTTGGTGTCATGTTTGCCAGAGCAAAGTATTTGCAAGTATTTGCTGCTTCTAGATTCTGTTTGGCACCGGTTTCAGTCAGAAAAAACATCCCCAAACAAGCTTGAAGGTGGAGTAGCCATTGATCAATGCGCTGAGTTTTCTGCAGGGTTCGGGTAGCATCCAATATATTCCAGTATCATGGATATATCGGGGTGAATCATATATTGTGACCTCACTGTGACGTCAATGCAATGATGGTTAGTAAGGGGGATCATCCCCAAATGTTCTTATTTCAGCATATTTCATCCATTTTCAAGTTGGTGAACTAGTTATTATAGTTCAGAAAATTATATCCAGTATACCCTCCGACAATCAAATGTGGCAATGGAAAACCCTCCATATGTGTAGATTAATTATCTATAATTATCTTAGCATTTAGACGCCCATTTATCAAGGATTTCCTAGCTATGTTTCATGACCGGAGGCCAAAACCAAATTGTAGTGTTATTTGGTTTCTTTGGTTTCTTCTCATCAGATTAAGTTGCATAATTGGATTCTGTTGTGTTTGGTTTATCTCTTGGCACGTGTCCGTGTAAAGCGTTAGTGGTAATCCCACGATTTAAAACTATATAATTGAATCCCATTAAATCTCATTAAGTCCCACACAAATCCCCTTAAACTGGCAATTTTTGATGGTTAAGTCTCCAAAATTTTGTTAAACCACCATTAATCCCATTAAGTTGTATTAAAAGAGACCATTAAAAGTTTAATCACCATTAACCACCATTAAGTTGATGGTTAATCCCATTAATCCCATTAAATCCCATTAAATCCCATTAAACAATTTTTTTACGGAGACCGCCCGCCCTGCAGGTGAGCATGTCTGAGCTTCTGAGTGCGGCCAACGTCACACTTGACCAGGTGCAGCCGTTACCACAGCTGGTGAATGGCAGACAGATCCCCAGTGCATGATACGGAAACATTAGCACACGATAAAACATGATAGATTGATATGATTTTGTTATATTTGTTCATTGTATATTCTATGTATTTTATCAATATGTTTGTTCATGGTATTGATCATATATAAATATATATATATACATATTTAAATACAGAATAAAGGCAAACATATTCACAAATAGCAAACACATATACATGTCCCTATAATTTATGTGTGAAACATATAGGTACATATGGGTAACTTGGGGGCGATTCAATGTATCTCTGGTTATACACTAGTCATTCAGTGCATACCATTTAAGTATCGCCACATTTGTGAACCACGACTGAGGTGACGGATGTTCATCCAATATGGATCTTTAAAGGGTATAGTAACCCCCCGTTTCACGTCAGTGTTTCAAAATGTTTTCGCTGAAAAATGGGATTTTACTGTTCAATCTTTTGGGGGCAGGAATGCAGTCGCTGTGCAGAGTTTAACTTGACCGGCGAGAGAGCTCGATTGCGGCGCGTGGGGCTGGAGCTGGACTTGACGCTCTTTTATTCCAACCTGTGGTTTTCATGGCTGCTGGGTGAGAATGGGCACAGGAACAGCAATATTTCTGGACGGTTGATGCGAGGGGTGTATACAGTGTATATACTGTTGATATTTGCTGATACTTGCACATAAAAACCAATAGTATACATACTATTAGTATTTGCCATTTACTATTTATACTTGCTATATGTTTGGATATTTATGGATATTTGATATATACCATAGAGAGATTTGAAATATATATATATATATACCTGGAAAGCCAAAAACACAATTTTTTCTGGTCATTATGGGAAAAAGCCGTAATGAACATTTTTTTTTGTAAAATATTGTTTTTACCCGTAATGACCAAAAAAAAGGTCAAATCAAAGAACATTGCAGTCCTACCCGTAGCAAAACCGTATTTTTTCAACATTTTGTTGAAAAAAAAACGTAAAAAACCGTAGCAGCTCTCACGCAAGCCTACCCGTGGCAAAACCGTATTTTTTCGACATTTTGTTGAAAAAAGGCCGTAAAAAGCCGTAGCAGCTCTCACACAAGTGGCTCCAGACGATCAAAGCCGTAATGACCAAAAAAAATGGTCAAGGCCGTTTGACCCAAAAAAAATGGGATTATGGCTTTCCAGGTATATATATACATGCACGTGCACATACTATGGACGTTTGATTTTTTTTACTGTAATATATATATAATATATATGATACTATGCATATATAGTAAATATAACATATATATATATATACTATTGACATACACTAGCCGCGGTTGAGCATCCGGCTGCCCATGTGCCCAGGGCCGATGTGTCAACCTGGTTCCTGCCCAACAAGGACAGCATGGCATGGACCGTTTTATGGTGTTGGGGATCACAGTCTGACCAACAGAAATGGCCTGGAATCCAGTAGCCTTAGTCAGTTTAGGTCTGGCCGGTCTAGCCTTTACTGAATTCAATGATCCCAATTTTTTGCATGTTTTTTGTTTGGTCGAATTTTGGATATTGACCGGAATGCAACATCTAACTGGCGGCCTGTTGTCTCTCAGGAGGTTGGGGTCTACCCGGATCTGGCTCTTATGCTCAAGAAATGTTTGCCGCATCCTAACTACCAAATTCCATAGTTGCTTTGGGAAGATGAACCGCAAACTGACCAACCACCTTTAGGATAGCCTTTCCTTTTCCTTTTTTTTTCTCGTCTTCTGTTCCTTTTATACAATTAATTGCCATCGTTCAAAGCGTGCATTACATCTCCCGATTTGTAGATCAAACTCAACCCCAGAAAAATCAATCCCAGCATTTAGCCACCTCCCCATTTTTTTAACCAAAAAAATCACGACTGATTCGCCTTGGAATTCAACCGTTAACCTCCAAAAGGTGACCTTTTGGATGGTTGGTGGACACCGTTGCTTCTGTCTTGATACCCCACATGCATTATTGGTCGTTTTTTGCCCCTCGTATACATTCCTATTGCATTGTTAATCGTGATATATTGTGATCATATTCCCGTTTGGAGGAGAAAGCTCCCATGATATCCCCATTTGGCATCCCATATATACCATCCATTTTTAGCAACATCACAATTCATTTCTGGAAGGTGATCTTCTCATAAATTCCATTGGTTATCATACTTGTATCCCAGGCATCGGAAGCGGTTTATACCATTTAATATCCCACGGTGCTCATCTAACTGGAAATATTCCTAAGACAACTGGGGGGAAACTATGGTGTCCAACCATTTACTCAGCTACCATTTTGTTTCAATCTGAATCAGAGCTGTGAGAGGTGCACAGTGCTGCCTCACAAGCGGATTTGTGGTTCGATTAGTGGTTTATACACCACTTATGCCTGGTGATGATACATGTGATACCCACATCATTAGCCATTTATTGGATATATTCCACATAAATAAGCCCATATATACATGTCATATGAATTCTTAGCACCACATAGATCAACATATGAATTACCCATGATTTTCCACATAAACATCATCCCCCATTGACTCACCATGTCGTAGGAGGTCACCTTCGAGCTGCGGGTCCAGGCGCGGCAGCCCGTGGAGGGCGTGCGCACCATTCGGAGCGTCGCCGCGGCGCAGTCCTTCTTCGACGCGCGGGAGCGCTGGGGATTTGGGGAGTTCACCGAGATTGGGAAAACCATGGTGGAAGTGGAGGTGAAATGAGGTGAAAATCGGACATTTAACTTTTAAAAATCAAAAAAAATGGAACCTAAGCTGAAAAAAACTTGGAAAATGTTGGAAATTAGAAGTGAAAGTTTGGAGTTGGATCGATTTAATACTTACAGTACCTATCACCTTACCAGAAAAAATGATGAAAATTGGACTTGGCAAGCAATAGTGTTTGACCTATGGATTTCAGCGCTGGGGGTTGGACATTGGTCCAGCGCTAGCATGGCTGGGCATACGACACACTACCAGTATAATTATTTGAAGATGTTGGATATTTTGCAGCGGGCTAACACCAGGGGAATCATTGCTGTATATAGATAGTTGTAAATCAAAATCAGATGTGGCCAGTATACTTGGGGTGTAGCCTACCGATATTGGTGCTTGACATTGGGATCATTGTCGCAATTGTTTAGCCAGTTTTTTCTATGTGCAACGATATTCCCAGCGCAGTGATGTGTGGTTGTTGCACTTTGGAGAAGCCCGCGGGAATAGCCCCAATCCTAACATTCAGTTGTGGTCCGGTTCCATGGTTCACCTTTATATATATATATATATGTTTCTTCAAGATCGCCTTGCCAGCTGCTTCAGGACTACAATGGTACAAAGGACGACCATCCGCGTGTCACTCGCAGAAGCTTCGGCATTCGCTTGCTGTTTCATCAGCAGGGCGTCATAGGCAGCTGGGCTTGGGTGGTCAATGGCAGACATGTGACATAGCAGGGGCACCATCATAATGGAATGAACCTTCATGGAATGATATACCGTATGTATACCCTTAGGCTATCTTTGGTTATGCTGGATGACCAGGGGCATTATCCAATTTTTGTGGGATTCACAACCCATCTCCTGGGGATATGTTTGCTGGTGGCTGAGTCAACCTCAACCAGCCCATCAAATCTCAGGCCGTCCAAGAAGATATCAAAGAAATTAGTGGATAACCATTTAAACAAACAGTCAATCCCATCTCCCTTTCATATAGTTTCATATTAAACACTACCTGTGGTTTCATCCCCTAGGGGAAGGGATCATTTTTTCAACACTCCGCCAGACACCATAACGGATTATTCAACAAACAAAAACATCAGGGATAAAATCAACACCAGCCATATTAAGTCATATTATGGTCTTTGAAAAAAACGCAAAATCATCATATTCCTATCTAGTGGTTAGGAAGAAGGGTTCCGGAACCATGAGCATCCATATTCCCTACAAAAAAATCGGGAGCTGTGAAAGGAGCTACGAATAGAGTTTCCCAACCCCATGATAGCTATATATATATATATGCAATATCCATCTATACCTGTATATATTATTAGTTTTATCCCATCATATCATATGATATTCCCATGATTTCCCAGAAATGCCCCCCATGATTCTCCAATGTTACATTTACATCCTTGATAAAGTGCAGTATCCCAATATATCATTGGTTTTATTTGGTGTTATCCCACAGTATATCCCCGTTATTTCTTATGGAAAATCCCAGCCACTTCTAATAGTTATATATCCCACTCTGTTGGTTTGGTTTTATCCCAGCCAACCCCATTCTTTCCCATGATTTTATCCCATGATTCGTTGGCAAAAAAATGTTGGAAACATAGCCCTTGGCTAATACCAGGTCGTTGGGATCCGATGACCTTGGCCTTTTTCTGTTTGCAAAGCTGCACCTTTCTGGGCGTCGCCTGGACTTTGACGGAGCTGCTCTGCGCCGGACTCCTGGGTGTCCGGGTGAGTCCTGGTGGAGAAATCAATGGTTATGGGAGATAACTTGGTGTAATGATAAATAATTGCATATTAATGGGCTAGATATTGAATGATATTGATATTCAAGATATAGAAAAATACGAAGATCTGAAGAATCTTGAAAGTGAGTACAGTATATAGATGTTCTTCCAAACAGAACACCTTTCCACGCCGCCCAGACCTTCATTCCCATCCTTTGCGACCTGCGGGGTCGCCCTGCACCCGCCTGGCTGGAGTCGCTGCAGCGGGTGCGCCATTCGTTTACAGGGCGCCAAAACCGCCTTTGGCCAGGATTTGGAGAAAAATTGGTCAAAATATAGATGAACATTGGCATTATGAAAGCCCAAACTCAGAGACCCGTGAAGAGCGGAGTGTCATCCTGGAAGTGAAAAATGACATAAAAGGATCTGGACTAAGACACACTACAAACCAGGCAACAAGAGAAAATCGGTGGGGAAATAGGCAGGGTCCAACTTTAAGGCCACAACCGACCCGCCGTATAGACTGGACACTCAAAGGCTTTTGCTTGTTGTAGCAATTTCCAGCAATCTAACACATTGCAATGGGAACTCCGGAAATGTTTCTGTTTACCACGACGATTATCCATTGTGATTTGTCCATTGTGAGACAAGATCGCTGCCAGGTATGTGAAAAATTGACCATTTCTCCATCTCTCAATTTTTCCCTGGCATGCAGCACTTCCTCTATCCCAACTGACGTCTATTCTTCAAGGGAGATGGGACACACCTGACACACCTTCAGCCAACTCGACCCATGTAAGATTCACTGGCCCATTGGTGCCGCTTTGCTGAGAGGCACCACGCGAAAAGAAGGAGTGATCTTCGCTGCTTCGCAGAAAGAGGTGCTTGCTTCGGTCGGGCAGCTTTGCCAAAGGGACCTTAAGTCATGCTGTTTCCAGAGGGGCCTTTGACCCCGCATATGGGGATCTTTCAATCATTTTGGAATTGACATTCCATTTGAATGCGCATATGTTTTTGTTTTGTTTCTGGTTGGTTTCAATCGGTACATGTGTGATTGCTCATCCATTTTTATCACGCATGTTTTCCGGACATGTTGAAAGCAAGGATGACATTACATTGTAGACCACCTTCAAAAATATGATCGCATGGAATATCATGGGGTTCCAGGGCATCAAATTGAAATCAATTGAATCACTTGAACATGATGTTCCTCTTCTTGGTGCTGTCCTTTCCGGAGTTTCATGTTTTACCAGCAACTAACATCCCAGCTGCCCATTTGATCCCATGTGGTACTTGGCCAGATTCCAAAGTGATGGATGTTGATCGGTGGCAACCTCCTACCATTGAAATGATCACAAGGTGGAATGGATGATGAAAATACATGAAAAGTCAATGAAAGTCCCTTTTGCCCAGTGCCAGGGGTAAATCCCTAGCTTTATCAACTTTACATAACTTTACAAACATGTACTAACCGCTAACCTTTGTAAATTCTTGTTAAATTCTTGAAGCCTTTAGGATGGTGTTAGCAACTGCCTCTCGGACCCCACAGCATGTCGCCACCCTCACCCTTTGCCATGGCGCAATGGCGGCGTGTTTCTATGCTGCCACTGCTGTTGTGGTGCTGCCTATCCGCGGCTTTCATAGGTTGTGGTGTGGCTCAATGGGAACCAACACTTGCTATTGGTCCGTGGTTGCTTCGTATGTATTCTCCAAGATGGCTGGTTCCATATTTGGTGGCTTGATGTGGCTCTATTGGAATGGTGGCTTCACTTTTGCCATGTGATACAAGGTGTTGACCCCCAGCTATAAGTTGTTGTTCTTTTCAAATGTGCGTGATATATCTACCGATAATCGATCTATAAACCACAGTCAACCATATAGTTAACCATAGTTAATCTATGTTACTCTACTTACGTTGTAAGCCAACTTAGCTATCGATTGGGCACAGCTCCTTGCACCACCTCGCACTAGTCACGTTTGCAGGCCCTGTAGCGAGACGTAGCACATTGCTGGGTTTGTTTTCTGCGACACCGCAAGCCGCGAGACTTGACGCGAGGTTTTTCATGGTTGTTCGCTCAAATTGGAAAACTACTCAGTCTGGAAAAGTCTTGATACGTCTTATTCTCTTTGTATTTGTACCAAATATCCAAATTGAATAGAAATGTAGAGATTTGCATCCTAGGTTTGGGGTTGAACATGGGTATTTGATGGATTTGCATCCTAAGGTCTATTCAAATGGCATAGTAAAGATTAAGATCCTGGGATTTGGGTTCAACATGGGTCCAGAATATGGATCAAAACGCTGACTAGCTCCCTGGTCACCATGCAAAGAGCGTGCAAGCGAAGCACCACTGAGGCAGGCGCTGCCGGGTTCGCCTCGTTTTGCCGGAAAGTACGATGACCCTGAGTTTCCGGGTGGCTCAGAATGGGGCAGTTTGGCAAATCACTGATTCATCCATATTCATCCATATTCATCCTGTATTTGATGATCACTACCGTTTTTTTTTACCATTGTCCTAATGGATAGTATCCCCATTTGTTGACAATTGCAACATGATGATGGTGATGATGGTGAAACCATGCAGCAAACGAAGCACAGATAGCAGTGCGCTCATGGTCATGCAATGCACATCATGACACATAAATAATGCCATCAATATTAGACACCCGCCAGAAACCACGGTTTTGTAGGGGATATACACTTGTTTGTGACCATTTAGGTTTAATATTAGGGAGATGGGATCATTCACATTCTGAAGCAAATGATGGTCGGACCCTGGTATCTCCTGATAACATACCACCCGGGGAATCATAGTGGTACAACTGGAAAGTCGTGGTGATGCTGTTATATACTGTACACATTTTAGCTAAATTACATTCAGTTACTGTATATCATTCAGGATCCTTCCCAAAAATCAAAGTTCACTCGCATAGCTGGCATAGCTGGTGTCTTTTGCCTGTCGGAGTCCCCTCTGCGGAGGTTGCCCCAGAGAGATAGTACTGCAAGGTGCTCGAGTGCTCGTCAGGTGCTGGGATTTTGAGGGATGGCTGTGGTTCTGATTTCTTCCGGAGCCGGGATGAAAAGGGGATGAAATTGGAAGCTGTTGGGAAAACCAATGACAAACCTCCAATGATAGACAATCCAAATCGGGCACCATAGGCCAATAGAGGCCAATAGGACAAAGAACATAGACAACCATTTTTTCCACCCCACTGGGCGAAATATCCGCAGTCACAGTGGCTCAACTACAGCCAGGCTTACGGAATGATGTTGATTACTAGGTGCACCAGATCAGCGTGTACCTACCAGAGGGCGCCCCCCGTTGTAAGTTGGTTTTTAAAAATTAACTGTAGATATACCCTCTGGTTATTTAACATAACCATGGGAAATGACCCATTTATAGATGGTTTACCTATTAAAAATGGTGATTTTCCATGGCGAACTGTTAGTCATAACCAGATGTAACTACCATAACATCCAGAAACCATGGTCAACCAAAGGATGCAGATGTCTTTTTCTTCGTCGGTGGACGTTCCAAATCCCCACTTATCAAGAACGAGTAGGAAGCATCCACCTTGCTATGTTTTGTTTACCCAAGATATTGGTTACAATCACGTTTGTTGGGTATATGACCCATATCCTGAATTCTCCTGACTTCCCTCCTGTAGACTAACACACATACGGAATTCCATCATGCATCTGTTGATCATTTGCGGGAAACAACCATAGATACCTGTCGTTTGTTTTAAAGCCAGAGTTCATATATCCCATTAAATCCGATGACACCCCAGTAAATTCCATGAAATCCTATATTGAATCATATTGAATCCTGTTAAACCACCATTGTTTCAGCCCATGTTGGTTCGAAAAAACATCCCCATTGTCTTCACCACGCCAGGGGCACTGATGGTGAAGGCCCTAGCTGCCAGGGCAAGAGCTGGGAAGCCGTTGGACGCCGAGGACGAGGCCATGGGTCAAGGTATGGTATGGGTCAAAATAAAAGACCTGTATTGAAGTTGAAGGTTATTGGGTATGTTTAATTGGTAAATCATGGCAAATCAACTATTTCATAGGTTAATGCTAAATATTTATGGTTAATGGTTTATGGCTAATGGATATTCATGGATATTAATGGGTAACGGTTAATGGTTATACAAGGTTGTTCCCCCCCAGTTATGTTAGTTGGTTTATAAACCATAGTAACTTTGATATATCTACCATAAACCCTAGTTATTGGAGTTATAAACCAACTTAGCTAACGAACTGGGGCACCACCTTGTATTTATGGTAAAGTAAGTCAAATATTAACATTGACCTAAATCATCCAAAACTAAAGTATAGACTAGATATTTTAGATGATTTTAGATGATTTAAGTCTATAATGTTTGTATTTACTTCAATAGTTGGGGTACTCAATTTTGAGCCATATCCAGTTGTAAAAGGGGAGAAACTTACTATATACTATAGCGGGCTGGCTATAACCAGGGCCACAGACCCTGCAAGTATTCCCCCACAAATGGACGATGTTGGAAAGTGGTTGGTGAGTTTCTGATGGTTTTAGCGTTGCTTTTGTTTGTTAAAGCATGCTCAAAACTGTGGGTATTGCACCTCAGATGTTGGTGACCTTTGGGGTTACCGTTTCCCAAAAAAAAAATAACATAACATAGCAATCAATTAGCAATTGAAATAGAAAACCTGGTACAGTACAGTATTTATCTAAGCGAAATCATCAGTTAAATACCATGCTCATCAAATTTTGCATGGTTTTTGTGTTAGCTGAATCTTCTACATTCAGCCAGCCCCCTGGATAGACGGCCATGGTCGGGCCCGTCGGAAAGGTGCACCAGACAGCCTGGACGGCAATCAGCAACTGAGCGTTAACAGGGGAAACCGTCAGGGTCAATCAATATGAAGAGGCGGTTAGTGTTGCATACTTGGGATTTGTTTGGTTTGTTTAATAGTTTGAGTATGACAATGGGTTAGTTTAATACTTTTTGATTAATTGGGTTATTTTAACATTCGTCTAAAAGTAGAGTGACTTGTGGGATGTCATGTGCAATTTGTCAGTCCTCCCATGCCAAATTGTCAGATCTCATTCTTTGGCTTCAGAAAGTCAGAAACACAATGAAACAGCCTTTCTTTCTATATGATTTCCCGCCAAGTGGTGGTTTTCTCAAGATGCCACAGGATGAGTCTCTTCCCCAACCGTTCCTGGCCTCAGGTTGTCTATTGATTTTTCCTCCAGAGGCTGAGGGTTATCAGTCGGACAAGGTGATGCCCCCCCCCAGTTATGTTTGTAACCGTTACCTCCATTAAATAGTTAATGCGATATGTTATCTACCAACATGTTGCTTTCATAAATCAGACAATATTGACGTATTATAGATAAATGTATAATACACGTGGAGTGGATAGAATTATGATAGGCATATTTCAAACTCTCCACACTAAAACGGGAATAGGTGTCTACCTACTCCAGGATGATCATGATAATAACAATAGTAGCAACAGTAATCATCATATTACTACAAAAAGCAAGGTGGGCCAGAGCACCCAAAAGCAAGACGGCGCACAGCACACCTTTTTTCAGAAATCTTGTGGTGTGGGCAGCTGTGCTCTGCACGAAATCGACGCAAGATCTTTATTGAGACATCGTGCGCACTGATGGCATCAGTGGCTACAATCTACAATTCACCACAGCATGCTGCGTCGGCTATGTCTTGAATGATCATGACAGATGAGACATGATGAAAGATGTGTGAAGACTTCTCTGTATAAAAGTTTCTATGCGTAAAAGCTATGTGTGTAAACTCGTCTGCGCGTAACAGTGTGCAAAAGCTCCTCTGTGTAAAGGTCTTTTGTGAAAGAAAAGTGTGTAAAAGCTTCTGTGTGTAAAAGCTTCTGTACGTAAAAGTTTCTTTGCGTAAAAGCTTCTGCGTGTAAAAGTTTCTGTGTGTGAAAGTTTCTCTGTGTCAAGGTTTTTTTGTGTAAAAGTTTCTGTGTAAGAGTTCCTCGGTGTGTAAAAGTTTCTCCGTCTCGCTCCCTCCCAACGGAGCTCTCCCCAAACTATTTCCCACGGTTTCCTGTCCGTCCACGCTGCTCGCTCCCTCCCAGCGAAGCTCTCCCCATGAGCTATTTCCCACGGTTTCCTTTCCGTCCATGCTGTCGACGCTTCCCTCTCGCTCCCCCTAAACGAGAACCCAAGCATCGGAGATGCTTTTAGGAAAAACATAGCAATAAACATATATAATGATAATAGTAACAGGAGTAGTATAGTGATTAAAACAGCACGATAGTGTCACAAATTAATAGTATCATGTTCATTTAAGTATAAGATAGATATAGATATATATATATATATATTTATATTTATATTTATATCGACCATGGATCCCCGGATCCCCTCTATCTTTGTTGCTTCAAACCCGGTGCCAGGCGGTCCCTCGGAGGTGATCGTCACCTGGGTGGAGAGCCAGCTGCGCTTCCCCGACGGTCGCAGCTGGAGACGACGCCGATGAACCGCGGCCAAGGAAACCTGGGATTTCTCGGTGTTTTTTCAACGGGTTTCATGGGAAAACCTGGGATGTTGGTGATTTTTGGTTGGTGATTTTTGCGTGATTTTTTTGGGTGGTTTTGATGGTTTCATGGAATATTTTTTCGGGATTGCTAAGTGATGTTGATAGGTTGTTGATGGTTTTTGAATGTTTTTGATGGGATGTTTACGGGATCCAAAAATTGGGGTTTACCGGGTTTTTAACCAATCAAAATCAGGGTTTTTGTCGGTCTTTATATTGGGATTTCAATTAAATATTATGTGTAATTCAGAAAACGGTTTTGTTAAGGGCAAATCTTGATCAGCTTTTGTGGGTGTTGCCATTGCTGAACGTGTTTTGAACTGATTTATTGGCGTTTATCGGGGTTTCATGTGTTTCAGTACGAGTTGTTTTGGCTTTATGTGGTTGAATATATGGTTAGTTATTTCATGTTATTTCCAAATAAGTGTGATTTCATACCGTTGCTTATGAGACCGTGGCAAACACCACAAAAATATGTGCAAAACATATGGCCAAATGTCTGTGAATGATTGTGTATGCACATAGATAGACTAAACTTGTCGATTGCCATGATGTTTTACTGAAAGATCCTCCAGATCCCGGCCCGGCTCCCAGAAATGGTAGGAGGGACAATCTACCGGAACCCCTCTTTTTTGGGTCGGAACAAGACATGAATTTCTGTAGATATACTCCTTACACCAATCCATTGACCAAATAGGACGAGGCCCAGCACGTTTTGGCCGGAGGTCAAAGGACATCGCCGCCACGGAGCTTCACAGTGTCAAAAAAAAGAACAGGTGGAAGATGCGTGGTCCTCGTTTTACCCTGTGAAGAATCGGGAATATTGCATCCCAGAATGATTCATATATCAAACAAAAATGGTTCCGGGAATTTGCTGAAATATGTTACAGGAAGATGTAGAGGAAACGCCATGTGACAATCCATCCAGTGAGCATAGCGACCTCGCACCGACCTTATCCCTTTGAGGAATTGTTTTTTTCTCCAGGGCAATGTTAAACCATGTTGAACCATGTTTAACCATGTTAAATCTATTCTATTTCCCCCTTGTTCAAGTAAAGGGTGGTCAATATGAAGAGCATGTTCCTGTTTTGGTCTTCCAAAAGCGCTATTCCAACTCTTCAGCCCAACAATGGGCCCTAGCGCTTTGGTGCTCAAAATGCAGCTGTCACTCGAGAGTGAAGCCCCTAAAATAAAACATAATTTTCACTCATCAAACCATCTCTTCTCAAGAAAAATCATCAATGGAAAACTTACTTTCCAAGGCTTTGAAACTTGCTTTGTTTCAGTGCTTTGCCAGCAGCCATGATGCGGATTTGGATGCTGGGGTCGCAGCCTCAAAGGGCGGGAATAAACAGAGTGATGGACAGATAGACAGACACTGTTATTTTTTGGAAGATGTGATATAGAGATATGTAGAGTTTATGATTTCTATATGTAAATACAGAATTATATAATACAATCATATATATATAATTATATATATATATATATACAGATAGCGTGTTTCTTTTTGAAGAAAAAACACATATATCTGGAATTATTTACGTATATCCTTGGACACCTTGAACGAACAAATGGGGCTGCAATCAAAAGAAAGGCTCATTGGTTGTTTCGTGGCTCGCAAAATTCCAGGTCATTTGCAATGATTCTCGCTGGTTTGTCAGTGTGGTAAACTCCACAACACGCCCCCTATTTGGAGTGTATATCTATAATATGAACAAATATATATATATATATATACATACATATAAATAGATAAGTTAATATAACATAAATAAAAAGTTAAAATGAAAAACATGAACTAAATAATCACATAATTTAGATTTAAATAAATATAAAACATATACATAATAGAGACATAAACGAACACATGTATATATATATATATACTGATACATCCGAAATGGGGGGTTACATGGTTAAATCACGACTTTCCATCAGATTTGGTGGCTATCTCCCAAAATCACTCCCAAATGGTCGTGCACCTTTGGTCACCCCAGCATGACAGGGAGGTGGGGATGCACAATTCAATGCTTCCAAGCAAAGGGTGCCAAGACTATGACCCTTTGTCCTGCTTTGTCCTGCAATGTCCTGCAGGGTCGATAAACTCTCAACGTTGGATTCCAGGGAGCAACCACTGCTGGCTGAGGTGTTTGAGCTCCGCCTTTAGCAGCGACCCGGCTTGAAGCTGGATGAGTTGTAGCGATTTCATGGGAAATCAATGGATCAAACACGGACAATCACTTCTGGACAGCAAAAGAACAGCGGCATAGATAGGGAACCATGCCAAAATGATGAACATGATACTTGATATAGTGCAAATGTTCAGTATACTTGGACCATTTGCGCCCAGTTGGCGGCCCAGGTTGATGAACTTCAGTTTCCCATTGGTAATTGAACATCGTTATTGAACGTATTAGAATGTACAGATTATTAATGATGATTATCTGGTTGGTGGTTTGGAACATTTTTCCATATGTTGGGAATAATCATCCCAACTGACTAATATTTTTCAAGAGTGGTTGAAACCACCAACCAGTTATGGATTGCTCGAACGAAAAAACTATGTTCATCCATGTTCCATAGCAAATTGTGATCCAGAGGGTAATCCTATCGTATGTGTGTTTTTGGTGAGGTGCAAGTCCGCAAAAGATAGAAAAAACAAAATACCCTAAACTGTAGTGATACTGCGGATGGTTTTGAAATCCTGCACCAGTTGGTAAATGGTTTATTGATCTCATGAAATTTGCAGTGTTTCATAGTTGCCAACAGTTACAAACTGGCGCGTTTTTTTTCCATCAAGAATGGTATCTATAGCTACATAAGTAAATATCCATAAATAGCCCACTAGATTAAGGCGATAGTATCACTTTTCGATCCTTTTTTGGGTGTCAAGTATCAGTGCTTGTGCTTCATTTCAACGCCAGGTCATCCAGTGGACCTTTGCAGCTTGAATCGTGACTTGTGCAGCTACAACAGCTATACCGGCTTTGCAGATGTTGGCACAGGCAAGAGCTTGGTGAATCCGTGAGTTTTTTTTCCATCCAAAATCACCCAACATAGCTATTGAAAATTGCCATTTATAGTTGATTTACCCATAAAGAATGGTGATTTTCCACAGTTATGTAAACGTTTACTAGAGGGTTTTCATAGTTCAGAATATTTTCAGATCACATGTTTCTCAGTTTCTCATCTTTCAACATCTTTTCAGTGCATCCTTTCTGTTACTCCACGGCTGGGCGGCAAATCCGGCGCTGCTTCGGTAGGTGCTTTGTTCTACTGGTACTTCGAGCCGAAGGTGTCGAAGGTGGGATCTCAATCAATGCCGCGAATGGGAAGATGTTCCCAACCCGTAAACTAAAAGCTGTTTATATGGTTTTAATATATATATATATATACACATATATATATATATACATATATATATAAATATATATATATATATAGTTTATATTTATATGGGTTATAGTGGTTTATATATGCGCGGTGTCACATACTCTTCCTGTTTTTTTAATGGTTTTCTGTATTTCCCTCCGCCTCCGGAGCTTTTTGCCCTGCACATTGACCGATTGGAACCTTTGGTGTTCCTCCTTGTGAAGTTAGAAACTTCGTGAAACTCCGACAACTTTGTGAAAAAACTGGATTGTGTGATTTGGATTCCGTTTGGTCTCTCAGATTGGCGGTGCTAAAGATGTGGTCCGTACAAAACAACAGGGACCTGAAGTTCAACTAGTCGGTGTCCACCAGCACTAGCAGGGTCTGAAGGCCGTCGGCATCCAGTTGGACAAGAAACTGACCAAATCGCTTGGAACTTGGGGAGTTGACCCCTTATAGCTTTTAACACTAGATCTATGTTTCGGACTATTTGAAATGAATAGTTAGAATTAAAATCAATTCAAATCCTACAGGTTTAGGTTAGTTCAGGTGGACCCAGACGAGTTTAAGTATAGGCTACATCACCCTCTGAGATCGAAACAATTTGAATCACCAGTTCCCATAAAGCCTCAGAGGTTTCTGGCGATGTGCCACTGATCCTTTGGCTGCAAGGCGGGTGGAGCCCTTGGGCATCCTTGGGCCAAAGTTGAGTTGCAACTGTGCAACTTTCAGTTTTTGCTATCAAGTTTCGTTTCAAACATGGAAACTTATATCCCCTGCGGGTTGCCTCCCCATGTCAGGTGGTCCTGGATCTCCATCGATGTTGGGTGCCTGGGTTGATGACGTTGGTGCAGTGGTGGTGATGACACTTATGATAAGAGGATCATGATTGATGATAACGGTGCAAGATGCTGATTCTGTAGGATTTGTATGGATTTGTCAGTTCGCAAGTTGGTTGAAGCAAGTAAATTAGTTGGAACACAGAACCCGACGTAGAACGCAGAATCAAAATGCCTAATTTGCGAACACTGACTGGTATGGTCTTGGTTACCTTGGACGAACATAGATAGTTGGAGTTGGGTTATACTTGTTTAAAACCTACGTTTCTGCTGCCAGCTGCCATCAGCCCAGAAATTGACAAGGTCTTTTTGCAACGTGAAGAGCAGAATGGAGTACAAGAGACAATGTGACCTCCTCACATCCCCAATTAGATGTGCAAGACCTTCATCGACAAGAACTTCCCAAATTGGTTTGGCTCTTATCGGGAATACATGGGCATACTATGCCGCAGCCACCTTCAGGAAAAGGATGTCCTTCATCGCCTGGGCCAACAGCCATTGTGATTTTCAGACGTCCCAAATCGATGCTGGTGACATCGCACCTGCGGCCTTGGAAGTTGCTGGTGTACGCCCAGCTGGGATGAGGATCATCTCATATCATTTCACCTGGGACCTCACTATGAGCTTCAAATGTTGTGCCAGGCTCTTCCATGGTCACAGCCCTACATCCAGAAAGGCACTGACTTCCAGAAGATATGCTGGCCCCGATGCAAGATTTCAAAGCTTCTAGAGCCTTAGAGACGCCCCAGAGAAGCAAGGACCAAGACGGGCCAGGATGGGCCTGGGTGCGGCGTGCGGGTCCCGCAGGTCAGCATGTGGCGGCCATGTGGCTGGGATTTTGGTTGGCCAATCACCAGCCACCATCCGTGTCCATTCGCGGTTAGGGGTTTGATAGGTTCAGCAGCGATCCAACGCCTCCAACGATTCAAGCCCCCCGTCCCTGCATCACCGACGCTCCAAGCTGCTAGATTTTTGTCACGGGGCTAGGTCTGTAAATGCATGCCGGGAGTCGTTCTAAAACCCATGCAAGACTTTGATAGTATCCGAGTATATCCGAGTGACATCTGCAGATATGGATGCGTGTTTTTTTGGCTGCATTGGTGAAAGACCGCGAAAGGTTCACGAAAGGTCTGAAAACACTGATTAGACTAGATGTATGTGATATAAGTATTCATGCTTGGCAGTTCTAGTTGCATTCATACAACCATTGAACAAGAATTTTGGGAGTTTTTCTCAGATAGGAATGGGTTTTAGATGGTATTGGAACTGAAACACCCACCCATCCTCTCATGAAACATAAGTTTTTAAAATCATGTTTGTAGGCGAGAAATCCGCGAAAGGTTCACGGAAGGTTGGCGAAAGGCGAGTCTGCCAGGATCCCACCTTGGCCCAAAATGGTCTAGTTTGTCTTTGAATGTTGCCACTGCAAAAACCCTTTAAAGTCTTTGCAACTTGTGTTTCCATTGTCGGGCAATCTGTAAAACAAATTAGGCGAATGCTTCCACTTCCTTGTTTTTAAATACAATCCTCCCATATTTTTTTTTTACGAAATATGC